AAAAAAATTAAACAGTGTAATTGTTATTATATACAGTAAACCCTCGAGAACTCGGCACATATGGGGCTCTGGCCTTGCCGAGTTATCCCAAATTCCGACTTATCAAGGCACTTCCCCCCCTCCTACAAAGACACAGCAATAAAAATTTATCAACCCATATATGTGTACATGTAATTACTAAATGTAAAAAAGTAGCACTTCCAGCACTGCAGGCAAAGAATGAGGCATCATAGTAGGTGACATAGAGGCACGGTAGGTTACACAGAGGCATGGTAGGTGACAGATATGGTAGGGGACGATGGAAGCACTTATGTACTGTACTACTGTATACTATTGTAGTATAATATACTATTGTACAGTAATTTGTTCACTTATACAGTAGAACGTCGATATAACATGTGATACTTTCCAAGAAAGGTCGCTTTAAACCAATTCGCACTAAATCAGAGTGTTGTTTTAATGGTATAATTGAGTTTGCTACTTGAGAGAAACACAAAATGCTAAAAAGACAGAGTCTACCCAGATGCACCTCAGCCCATCTAGAATAAACAAAACATTGTTTTTTGTAGTATTATGTTAAAACAAACACTCATAAATCAACACAGCTAAAATTAAGGGATGTGAAATGGTCTGTTTACTGGCTGGGAAGAAAGGGGGGGGGGGGAGAGGGAAGTGAGGTGATATGTTTGACAGTTGATGCCAAGGTCTAGTGCTTATTTATTTATCTGTACTCAAGAGTGACATTCATTTTTTTCTTATAAAATATCACTGAACTGACATGGGAGAATATAATTAACATTGGAATTCTTATAAGATAGTGATTAATTTGAATATAAAAATGCTATAACTCGCATTAGACATACAAATTTTAGTTCTAATTTAAGAATACAGTATTATTAAAAGAGCAAAACATTTTATCTCGTGCAAAATATATGACGTTTATACAGTGGTCCCTCGGTTAACGCACACAATCCGTTCTAGAAGGTTGCTCGTTAACCGAAACCATTGTTTCAATGGGTTTTTGGGTAATTGGTTCCAGCTCACCGAAAATTGCCTAAATTCAACAAAAAAGGTAGAAAAGTACACTTACTTTGAGGTGTGTATGTAGAAGGCTCCTGGATGATGATGATGATGATGATGGGAATTAGAATGGGGGTGGAGGAGAAGGGAGAAGAGAAGGCATTGGGGTGGAAGAGAAGTCACCCCATGGAGCCATTTCACCCATAAAATTTTAGTTCTCTTGGTGTAATTCAAAATTATTTTCTTTAAATCAACACTGCATTGCATTATATATTGTCAATATGTAAAATAAATTTCAAAATGACCAATAATTTGCTTGCAAACACAGAAAAAAGCATTTAGTTGAAGAGTCTCAAGCAAGATGTTACCTCCACTGAAAAGACACAAGACTGACGCCTGTATGGTGTGTTGGCAGGCTGGATGGCGCGCATGAAACTAGTGACCTTACCTTCAATTATGTTCAATAATTGTTAAAATGACTAAAAAAATTAATATTAAACTTTTAAAATTATTGAATAGTATAAACTTCTTGATATTTACTAAAATGGTAAGGCATTTAAGCCCTAAAACCGATTACTGTATTGGCAGACTAATACTACAGCTGGTGGACCACCAAATGCAAGCGAAAACATGTGGAGGTCGGCTTGTAAGAAACTCGTTAATCGAGGGATTGCTAGTTAACCGAAGTTAAGAATCTTATGGAAGGTAACTCGTTAACCGAGGGACCACTGTATTCAAATTATTCGCTGTCTTGCAAGGATTCCAGCAATACAAATTATATTCTCCTAACTTTAGTCTGTGACATTATATAAGATAAAAACTTTAAGCCTAAAACACCAAACCCTGGCTGGAAGGGAGGGAGGGAGGAAGGGGAGGTGACAGTGACATGTCTGACAGTTGGCACCAAAGGTCTAGTGAAGTATTTATTTGTTTACTTATGTCCTTTAGCTTGAGTTTATGTTTTTTGCTTATAAAATGTCACAGAAGTGACCGGGGAGGATATAATTTACATTGCTGGAATTCTTATAAGATAGTGATTAATTTAAATATAAAGATGCTATAGTTTGCACTATACAAAAATTTTAATAATTATTTAGTACATTATTTTGAGTACATGTACAGTACAGCTTTGCCCTTAGGACAGTGTAGCGTGGCTAATGAAACATTAGGCACAAATTTTAAAATATGATGCACCAGATTGACTCATGCAAAATAGGAAAGATTCGCTTTAAATTAAAACCTTGTCCTTAATTGTGGGTGTTGCTTAAATCAATAATCTTAAATTGAATCGCTTTAAATTGACATTCTACTTATAAAATAAAAATTTTTACATATAGTCAGCAAACATATGTTCTGCACCCTGGGGTCTGATGACCTCTGCAACGATCACTAATTGAGGCCATATTAATTTGGTAAGGTTGATATTTCTGGTTGTGTGATGCCAGTATGATGTATTTTTTATATCACATATAGTTAATACCGAGAAGTTAACAGGAATCACCAGTTTAAATGAGTGTTGTTCAGAATTCTTGGTCCGGTGTTTCATATTGTATAACACCATAAAAGTGCAGGAAATTTTTTTGTTGACTGTACAAAGTATTTTCATTTAAATACTAAGAGTGCTGTGCTGTACTGTACTGTCCATGTCATGTACAGTGACGCCTGACACACATTCCTGCTTATACTACTTGTACACAGGATGATCTACATCAGAAAGTTTTGCAGGCTTAATTCTTTTCTGCACTTTTTTTTGAGCTGCCAGCGTTACTCTTACCCACACGGTCAGATATGCCGAGATTTTCCCAGATAATTTTATATATCTCGGCATTTCCCGAGTTAAAGTATAATACATTCCAAGACCATATTCGTGCCGAGTTATAAGAAATTTTGAGCTATCGAATGCCAAGTTATCGAGGGTTTACTGTACAAAATGTTCTCTTTGCAAGAACTATTGTATGTAGTAAGATTAAAAATTGAAGAAAACAGGGTGAAATAGTCCTCCTAAATTTTCCAGTCCTGTAAATAAAATGAGAAGAAACTTCATCATAACAGACAAATTGAACTCACCCAAACAAACTTAGCCTGTCATAAAAAAATAATATTTAATTAAGTTAGGAAGGATTTAGTTGGTTTCCGGCCATAAATGAGTTACTCACTTTTCACAGTACACTGTACTTCTAGTTAGGCTTTATACCTTATTTTTGTAAATGTTAATTTTTTCTACATTGTGCAAGCAAGAAAAATCGTTTGTCCTAAGAAATAAATACGGTTTGCAATTTAAAGAGGAAATTCTACTCAGTAGCTGCACAGCACTGGTCCATTTCCACCGTAAAAGATTTTCAGTAAGAAGCCTCAGTCCGGGTGAATTTCACTATAGATCCATGGGAAAGTGGGAGGGCTCAGCCTCCTTGTCTTGACTTTGCTACTGTATAAGATGAGATTTCCAGGATCAATCTCCCATTTATAACCTCATGTTGGTCCAAGGAGACTCATGTACCTATAGCCAGCTAAAAGTGGAGGCAGTTAAATGAAAATCTAATGCTAACGTGTACTGTACCCCACAAAGAGGGGCAGTCTGGAATGTAAAACTAAAATTACAAACTCCCCCAGCACCACATAATGCTCCAGTACTATATTCTCATTTAAGTACAGTAGTGACCTGTACACACACACACACACAAAATAGGACCTTGTTTATCCCAAAATCTATAAACCACATAATATCCAAGATAATCACAGACTCTTGCCTTTCATTTATTATCCAATTAAGTCCATCATCCAAAAACACAGCTGTACTTTTACATATGATTATTCCAAACACCAGTGTTACAATTAGTAGCTAAATAAGTTTGGCATTGTTTACAAGCCACTTGCTCACTAGACAGCATATAGTTCATGTTTGTTGTTACAAGACAATATGTACTCTACATATAAAGTACACATAAATGAGTGTAGGTAGCGAGGTGCGGTGCATTGATATGATACGTATGAAAGCAGGACTCAAGACACCCACACATATTCAACCACACAAACCGTCTGGACTGATGCTGGATTTTCCGGACCTTTTACAAATATTTCTGGTGAATAGAGGTGTGGTCCGGAGCGCCTCAGAGTCCAAAAAAGGTGAATTCCGGTGTATAGAGTATCTTCTGTATAATCTATTGTCTCCTCATTACCCTGCCCATAGTTCATGCAACAATATTTCACTAACTTCTCTGTAACATTTCCTGGTTAATTAGGTGTGTGTGTTTTCCAGAGGATCTGACTGAATTTGATAGTACTTTATATATTAGTGCCATTAATTTACAACTTGGGGCTCACAGGAGCCATTTCCCTAATAAGTTTACTGGGAAATGAAGACTGAGCATAAGATGACCCAATTTTAATGGAAACTGAAGACCGATTAGAGCTCTTATGATGCCGTTAAGTTTGTGGTCCATTAAGACAGATCTCATTAAGTTCCACATCATAATAAAACCCAATTTAATAGAAAATAACGATCAGGCCCGAATTCAATTCCTATCTGCCACAACGTTTATGGCTCATTAAAGCTTAAGGCTACTTGGGCCCCTGTCCTAATTAGGTTCAATTTCCATGGAAAACAAAAGTGAGCAGTAATCTGAGTGTGCCAATAAGTCTTAAGCTAAATTTAGTTTTACTAAGCCAAGAGGTCTTTGAGCCTAATGAACCCTAAACTTACAGGCAACCTTAAATTTGGGCTGAATCTTTGCATTCAACTGAGGTTGAGTCCTATGAAAAGGAAGGGGATCAATGGGCCCCATATTTTGGGTTTATTTTTGAAAGTTGCAAAATTAAAATCTAGAAATTAGACAAGTAACAAGAAAATGTTCAGTTTAGGGAAAACTTTTGTTTGTTCAACAGAATATTGATGGTTAAACAGAATTCTGTTAACTTCACTGGCCACACACTGATTAATCTGGTTAAGGGAGTTTACAATATATGTATATCATAAACACACAGTATGGTAACATGTATAATTTCAAAGCACCACAGTCAATGTACATTTTCAGTTTTTCATTCATCCTCACATTCCTTTCACACACAAACTACTTAAAAATTACCTTCACCAAGACTAGATTTTAGTATTTACAGATATATAGTAAATATGTTTTTATCATTTATTACCTGCTCTATATCCCAACCTGTTCCAGAAGAACATTACCTGACAAGTATACTGATAAGGTATTTGTTAACCCTTTAAGGATGATTCCCCCCCAACTGTTATGTAATAAGCTTTTCCATCCACTTTTGAATGATTACATGCACATAGATGGGTCCCTAGCAAGCCTACCAAGCATGCGAATTTGCCTGAGGTGCACAATTTAATATTAAAACAAGTACGTATACTGTATACTGTAAGTGAGTAATTATCAATCATCATTCATATTCTCTCACATCTTCATTGATTTTCTATAATAAATCAATGGGGAACTGCTAAAAATCAAGCTTAATACCACAGTCAATTGTAAATACTCTTGCGTAAGGATAGTATATAGTTTCTTTTGAAAATCTAAAAAATCTCATCTGGCTGGTCACCCGAAATGTTCAAGCAATCACCCCTAAAGGGTTAATGAGTCAGCAATGTGAGGTTTTCAACTTAAGCTAACTTATCATAAGCTTCTTTGCAAACTTTGGAGACATGTTTTATTAAGGTGTTACATTAGCCCATATTGAGGCCCACGACCAACTAATGTTTCTCTCAGTGGAAGATGAGGACAATGAGAGCTAAGTTCTTGTACACTTACCTATGTCTCCTTTAAGGCAAAGTGTTGTGATAAAAGTGTAAAGAATTTAGGTCTAACAACTACAGATCTTTGCTCAATAGTATGTAGAGCAATGGAAGAACTAGTATGATTTGTTTTTAATATATTTTTCTAACTATATTCTATACACTTTTCCCAATTGTACAACTTCTTCAAAACCATAGTCTTGGGATATCTACATTTTGACATCATATACACATACACACACACACTCCCTCACACTACTCATCCTTACCATCTGGCTACAATGCCTCAATTTTTGATGAAAATTAAGAGTACATGATACACATAAAATCATTTCCAATACTACAATGACTGATAGATACCATAATTGGAATTGAACAATTAGATAATGGATAAACAAACTGGTAGATATTTCAGCCTTTTCACATGCACCTTATGATATTGGTTCTAAGTCTTTGAAGCAAAATTAGAAAAGTCTGTCTTTAACTTAATGGTTGGTTGGTGTTGCATTGAGTCCTGCATCAATGAACTGTCGGCTTTGCTTCTGGCTTCTTGTTGGCCTCTCAGTGCACTTTCTAGTCTCAAACGTAACTCTGGCTTGCTTGTTAAAACAGCACGGAACTCCTGCAAATATATATTATGACTGATATAACGAATCTTGGGAAAAATACACAGCACAGTATATCTACATGATATAAATGACATAAACAATGGAGGTGTAAATCAGAGCTCTGGTAGAGAGAGACAGTGTATACAAGGGTATAAGAGAATTGCTGACACAAATGGAAGGTGCTGTGCTTGTGTGTGTGTTTATGAGATGTGCCTGGAAAGTGAAGGTTTTTCTTACAGATGTTTACCAATTGTGAGAGGGTGAGTCTAGCTATTTGGAAGTGAGTATTACAGACCTTAAGGGAAGTATACAGGGAAACAGTGTGCCTGGTTATGTACTCAACCACTTAAACACTTCTTTAATTGTAAAGTAAGATATCCAACCACAGCTGAGTAAACTGGATGTACCATAGGTACAGTCAGAAGCAGTAATTGTTACCTCCCTCCTCTAGTAGTCAGAGTCACAGTCAGTGAATGTCGATATTAACACAATACAACATCGCCAGCCATGATAGTTCCAAAACTACCCAGCAACATCTAGACTGGGCTCTAGCTACTGGTTGGGGGGAGGGGGGGGGCTAATTACTACTTCTGACTGTACAAACCAGTGACCCTAAGGATTGATGGCCAGTACTGTAACCACTCAACCACCACACCTCCTCTAGCTGGTTAAGTGTTCTTCGATAATATGTTAGATATGCTGAAAGACATTTCACCCTTCTAACACCACTTAACCTGTCCATATGAGTAAAATTAACACCTGGACTACTGTTCATAAAAGCCTCAATCCAAAAAGAGCACTCAGCTGTCAGCAAGGTCTGAGCAGGAATATAATGTCTGCAACTTAAAACAAGTGATTGGACTCTGAAGTGATTGATCTGGACTGAGTGATTTATAGTATGAAAACAAACAATGAATAAATTGAAATATATTTTGTTATCCTTAATAACAAAACTCATACTGTTTTACTAAATAATTATCCTTTGGTAGACCAGTATGAAGGTAAAGGAAAATCTTATTTATCATATCAAGTTTTCAATTTCTTTGCCACAATTGGGGCCTGGGGTTTTGAATCCTAGCCTTGCTGTCTAAACAGAGTTGCTAGGCCCTTATACTCATACAAGGTAATAAACTACAAATTTTGTTTTAGTTTAGAATAAATCATACCAATACAGTACATACTTGTGGATATTGTGGTCCAATTTTCTGAAGTCTTGCTAATGCGTACTGATGAAGCTGCCGAGTTGGGTGATTCACACTACTCAGTCGATTAGTGTCTTGTAAAGCTCCAACCATTATGCCAACCAACACTCCCACCAGCTCATTCCCTATAAAAGAACATTTAAGCTCCTTGCTGTAAAAATGCGTAACTGTAGTATAGTAGTTCATATGGTATAGTACAATATTAACTCTCCGTACTGAAATTTGCTATACAGGTACAGTATAGAGAACCACACCTCAGATTCCACCATTACCTCTCTAAACTGAACGAATCTCCTATACACCGAACTCTCTATGAAACCCCTCCTTAATTATCTCAAATATAAAAAAGTAATACAGTTATAGTAAAATAAAAATAATAACAATAAAGGGGCCCCCCAAATTCGTGGGGGTTAGGTTCTCAAAATGGCTGCGAATCGCCAAATCCGTGAATAACATTTGCGGACCGGGGGTGAGGGGTTACATTTTTACTTGTGTACAAAGAAATGTATATTCCCTTTATGTGTTTGCCCTTAGGACAATTATTTCTTTTACCTGTACAGTATTGTATATATGTTGTGTGTGTAGACACATACACAAAACACATACAAATAAATAATAATTGGAAAATACTCTCACAAATAATCAGAAACAAATTCATTAAAAATGTGACAGTCTACCCTTAAGTTCGTGCTTTATTAATAAAGTAATAAAGCTCCCTGTCTCAGCCTCGAAAATGCCGGTAACTTTAAAACTACCGGTACCCACTGACATTCTTGGGTACATCCATGGTTTCATCTGCAAATAATAGAAAAACGTTTAATATAAATCCATGAACTTGGGGACCTCCTGTACAGTAATAATAATAATAATAATAATAATAATAATAATAATAATAATAATAATAATAATAATAATAATAATAATAATAATAATAAGAGAGGTAACACTGTATCTTTAACTTTAACAAACAGTCTTCCTCCATAGTACTGTCTGAGTTACATAAAATGTAACAAATTTAAAATCTTACTGTGTTCTGGTAATGTTCTTGGTATCAAAAGCTCCATTGCACTCAGACTCTCTGTGATAAGCTGCAGCTCTGCTTGACTTGACAGACTTGTGTGAGCTTCATGAAGGTATTCTAGGATGCGTGGTGCCAGGGCATGAATATATGGAGTTGATATTTCACTATCGGTGTGGCTGAAGATCGATTCCAGAGTCTGTATACACTGGATACGTACCTGGAATTTTGAAAAGAACATTTTTACTTGTGAAGAGGCTGCTAGAAAGAAATTATTCTGCTTAAGTTGATGAAACCCTCTCCCCTTATTGAACAAGATGCCTCCAGTAAATATTTTTTCTCTTACTCATACAATACTTCAATACACTTCTGTAGATTCTTTTGTCAATACAGATTAAATACATACTACTTCACTGCAATTCCACCATTATTTTTATGTAAATCAAATCCTTCTCACCTTACTGTATTTATAACACGTCTCTTAGTAATTTTCTCCAAATACCCTGTACTATACTGTACATACATCATCTGATCTTTTACCCTACCAAATACAGCCTTCATAAATGCCTTGTCTACATAATTTATCACTCCTTAATCGCTCTTATTTTCCTTCTTCTACTTCCACTTATTTTATATTAACATACAAAAATGATGGACATGGAACTCCTAACTACAGCTTTCCCTCTTAAATCTGTTTGTTACCAAGGAAACATAACAACTAAACACAAACAATGAAATAAATGAAAACATGCAGTAAAATACATCATCCTTACATCGAGCTGCTGATGCTGTGTGGCCATTTTGAATAAGTTAATTGCAGGATACTGTAGGTTGTGGGGCCGACTGACAGATGGTGGTGCATGGAGGATCAGCTGGGCAATACCTCTCAGGACAACGACCTCATCTGTCACACGTTCTTCTTCACCTGTAACCACCAAAAAATATTACTAAATACAATGTTACAACAATTACAGGTGAAATATTTTAATACGTAAAATGGTAATGCAATAAAATGTGCCTCAAATGTGTGGGGCTTCACAGTACTGGGTTAGATATACGTTCATTGATATATCGCTTTCTTAATTTGTTGATGTGAGGCAACCTGGGTAAGTGCAACTCCCTCCAGTGATCTTCCTTTATATGTGAATGGTATCACTTGGCACACAACTATAACCTACAGCACAATACCACATAGATATCCAACCCATAGATAAGCTTCACTAACACTTATTTTTTGTTAAGATATTACATATAAATTTTGAAACATCTGTACAGTGATCATAGTGGTAAGGAAATACGTAAGGCTTAAAAAATCTAAACGGTTATACAAAGGCCATTTACCCTCAACAGCATTAGCTACCACTTAACAGATAACATTTCCACATTTAGAATACACAACCATACTTAAATAACTTGAACTACTGCACAGTATATGGTTCACATCTACAGCCCTGAGGAACATTATGAGAAACCTAACTCTGGGTTTTGACTTAATGATATGGAATCTTCCTCCGTCTTAAAGTAACCGCTTTCTCTGTTAGGGTTTGGGAGATTTATTTCAACATATGCTTAATGGTTGAAAAGCTGTTTATAGCAGTAACACTGATGCCACTAGACACTATTTGCTGCCACATGAGCAGGTTAAGCCCACTGGTGAGGGCATGGCTTTCCAGGGTGTTCCATTCAAGGTGCTACAGATTTATCAGTGGTAACCCAAAGACTAAAAATATTTAATAAGAAATAGAACTAGATAATAGACAATGTAATTATGTATACAGCTTTTTGTATCAAATTCATAAAACAAACAGTACCAAACTTTAGTGCCCATAAATATAATTTTCTTGTTTATTGTACTTTGATGAGAACAAAAATACTCTTACTACTGTACTTACAAGTTTTACTAAGATCAATAATGTTGGCAAGAGCTGATTGCAGTAGATTGCACCACTGGTCCTTAGACCTGGGATCACGAGCATAAGGATGTCGAGCCAACGTAGCCAGAGCATCTAAGACTTTGGTCATGAGTGCAGGGGTGTTTTGAAGGCCATGACTGGGGCGAGACTTGCTCCCACACTCACGCAATACACCCGTGAGCAGATATAATACAGTTGGTAAGATGGCTACTCCACCTAGTAAAAGGTGACAACAGCAATAAATTAGTCACAATTTCTACGAAATGTTTACATTTGTTTGGTAATGCCTATAGAGTATCTGAAAAATAATGTTAGTTTCTATCTAACAGCAATTTTCCTGTTAGATAGAACTATATCCCTGTAATCAATAGTTTGTTCCCTGTACCATGGGTGCACATTTTGAAAACACGGGACAAAGTATCAATTGTACCCCAAAATTTTTGAAAGCCCAGGATTAAATTCCAATTGTACCTTCCATTAAGTGAAAAGTATTTATAACAGTTCTAAAACCTCATCAGCCAAAACATTAACGAAGTGTAAAAATGCATAACAATTGTCCGCAATGAAGAAATATTGCAAGAGTTTGTGTTGGAAAATAGCTTAGTTACAGCTGCACTTGGACCTGTGTAGCAACAAATGAACAGCATCAGTCAACTCTTCAAGTTTCCATAAGATAGCAAAGATTTTTAGGTGTGGAAGAACAAAATGTATATAAATAAAAAAAAATTGAGTTGGGAATATATTGAAACGAATTTATATTACTAGTTAAACAAGGACACACCAAAATATGGGTAATGCAAGTGCACAGGCTATGTTTTGTTTCTATTAGCTTTAGAAACAATTCAATCCTGTCACCTCAAAGGGAAAGATCCTTCAGAAATCATTCATAAATACCCTGAATTTTCAGAAAAACTTGGAGCTGAACTCACTTTCTTTTGCATGCAGCTTAACATCTCAACATTAGAGGACCATAGGCAAACATTCAAAGAAATGACTCCCAACAACCAACTTACCAGCTGGGGAGCACAGATTAGGTAGTGCAGTTAGTAAAGTTACAGTGGAAGAGAGAAGAGCTTCAAGCTGGTAAGTCTTGGCATGATGTCGAGGAGGTGCCAGCAGTGAAGGTGCTGAGGCCACCACCTGAGGAGCCAGACGTGGCTTGTGGCGAACTAATGTACACAGACACACCTGGTAAATATGCCAAAAACAAAATCAACATATAAAAAGTCTTAATTTGTTCAGGGAGATGATTCTCTAGGTCTAGGTAGTGACAAAACTAAGCCATTATACATTGTACTAACCTTATTCCATACCAAACTCCTTGAGGTGAACAAGAACATTTAAAAAAATAAATTAGAAAAAATACCCAAGTTGGTGGCTGAGCTTATAATTTCCCATTCCCCCTTGGGCAAGAGGGTAACAGAGGAATTGAGGAAATGAACTCGTTAACTATGACTGAAAAGTTCTGAACTGTGATGTAAGTTCATAAAGCATTTCCCTTATAACCAACTGTTTAAATCATCGTTTGATGAATGTGCAACAATGTGGCTGAATGAATCTACTAAACTGTCAACATTCCTGCCACCACTAGATAGGTAGTTTTATAGATGCCATCTATCAGTAAGGAACAGTCTTATGGATCACATTTGATATTATGTACCAGTCATGAAGGATACAGTTACACAAGACCAATTACACATCTTTTGAGTTGGGAGCCTTACAATTTATCAACCATGTTTTGACTGAAATCCAAGTCATCATCACTAAACCCAAATGCAATCTCAAAACCTGTGCAGGTCAAAAAACAGTGGAAAGTTTCTCAGTAGCAGTATCTAATATGCCAGTATGATTAAAGTGGCCAATTCACTATATGACAACCTCTGTGATGTGAAAATGTAAATTCTTACCTGAAGAGCAGCAAACACCAAAGATTGTGCTGTGTTGATTTCTCCAGACTCCTTGCCCTCACCCAGAAGGTCTGCCTCACAGCCTTCACACTCCTGGTTGGCTGGCTTCTCCTCTGTACATAAATTTATTCAGACATTTCATATATTTTTAGTTGCTTCTTAAGAATTAATAATTTGATCAGCTAGCTATGATAAAAACTATAAAACTTTTTACCATTTAAAGTAAAAAAAAACAATGAATAGTGAGTACAGGGGACTCCCTAAATTCTTGGGGGTTGGGTTCTCAAAATGGCCGCGAATCACCAATTCCATGAATAACATTTGCGGACCGGGGGGGGAGTACATTTTTACTTGTGTACAAAGAAATGTATTTCCCTTTATGTAATTGCCCTTAGGACAATTATTTCTTTTATCTTTATTGTACTGTATATATATGTGTATGTGTGTGTGTGTGTGTGTGTGTGTGTTGACACAAAAACACAAAACACATACAAATAAATAATATTTTGGAAACTACTCTCACAAATATATAATCAGAAACAAATTTATTAAAAATGTGACAGTCTACCCTCAAGTCCGTGCTTTATTAATAAAGTAATAAAGCACGAACTTGAGGGTAGACTGACATTTTTAATAAATTTGTTTCAGATTATTTGTGAGAGGATTTTCCAATTATTATTTATTCATGTGTGTGTTTTGTGTGTGTGTGTCTACACACACTCACACATATTTACAATACAGGTAAAGGAAATTATTGTCTCTAGAACAAATGGCTCCCTGTCCCAGCCACGAAAATGCCGGCAACTTTAAAACTACCCACAGACATTCTTGGGTACATCCAGGGTGTCATCCGCGAATGATAAAGGACCGCAAAATAAAAATCCACGATCTTGGGGGGGGCCCCCTGTACAACATTAGTTGACAAGTAATTCAACCCTCATCAGGCTCAGCCATAGCAAACTTTCTAGGCATTAAGCTCTTCCATTATAGCTGACTTCTACCCTACCCTAAAAGGAATGAGAGTATCTAAGTTACCCAGAACTGGGGTCAGCCCTTCACTAGGTGACTCAAGAATTCTGAAGCTGGCTCATAAAATGGAAGGTGGTGGGTAGAAAGGCTTCCAATATCAACTAAACAAGCATAATTGCCTGGTAGAGCAACATGCAATAATGAACAGATTCAACTAAAGATGGGTAAAGCTTTTACCTTTGTGCGTTTTCTTTTTTCTTTTCTCCTCATCCAGAGCTTGTTGTGCAGCCTTTACCACCAGTGAGACTACTGTTACTGCTGACTGATGAACATCTGTGTGGTCTGAGCTTAGCACTTGTCTGTAGACAAAAAACACTTATGTTAATATCAACATTTATCCTTCTATCATACCTAACAACTGAAGTACTGTACAGCAAATACAAATAAATATTATTGTGATGTGCCTGCCCTAAGAGAAGGTTCAAGGTTCTGAGTTGGGTTTCTTGGCCATGGGTCTAAAAGTATTGTGTGTTAAAATGAAAATTTCCTCAGCTGTTGTGTTCTTTTAAATAAAAACCCTAAATCTACTTAAAACGTGTTTTCATAATAGCAATACTGTACAGTCATAAGTACTAAAAATGCAGGGGAAGAATGAAGGTTAAGTTACATAATTTTCAGTATTACATCACATAAGCATCATATTATGGACAAATACCCAATGGATAAGGTCATTTAAGAACCAGTTTGCTTTGGTATGATTTGTTCTGCTTGAGATGCATTTTAATAATAATAATAATACCGGTAATAATAATAATAATTAACGGTTTATTGAAAGAGCTTGGCAGCCAGAAGGCTGAAAATATACAGCTACATATTTGGGGAATGGGTTTCGAATTGCAAATAATATACAAATAACATAAGTGAAATAAATAAGATATATAATAACTAGATGGGGAAAAGCTCAAACTACAGGGCATTTCAACATAGTGACAGTGCAAGAAGTAGTATTTACTGGGAGTGAATACACTGGTTTATTACAAGTTATTGATAATTTTTACAATGGTTGGGACTGGGCTGTTCTTATAGCGATCAGTTCGTGCACGTATGGGCTGGATGCGGTTGTGGTGTCGAACAGCATTTTAAGCTTTCCAGACGTAGAAGTTCTTCCTTATGACTAAATTTCAAATGTGTTGCATTCTTTCTCCTTTTTCAAGATAGAGATAAGAGATCATCCTATTTAGATTCTCTAGGAATATACACAGGAACCCAAAACATGAATAGCTATGTCATTTTATTCAGGGGGTCCAGACACACAAAATAGTATACTGTATAGTAACTGGCAAATGTGGACAAGAGTAAACTAACGTAATACTAACCCACCCTCCTTATTGGAGATTGTTGATGTGTGAAAAAAATTATTGACAACTTTAAGAATTATACTGTTTTAGGTACATTAGAAATATTGCTAATGAATGACAGATAATTACCTATGCATTACTGTTGCAATTTCTGTAGTGAGGCTAGCATTGGGACCAACTATTTTTGCTGGCCAAGGGGAGGACAACAATGTTTCAAGAGATCGTAGACACACAACACTACGCTCTGGGTCATCACTGTGCACTGGACTACAGAGCCACTCTAAACATATTCCTGTAATACAAAAATAATTACTCTTTGGTTTAAGAACAAGAATACAAAAAACATAAATTCAGTCCATTTTCACCAAAGTTTCTTGAATAACAATTTCTCCTGGATATTACATACAAAATCTGTTTATAAATAGCTGGCAAGATTGAAGAAAAATAATGGGATGATCTCAAGTAAGCCCCCCGTTTATTTCACCAATGATTTAACACTAACTATATCTTGGGGTTAAGTTTGGTTAGATTAGATTTTGTGCTAGAGTAGGTAAGATTAGCCTTAGGATGGTTAATCTTAAGATGAAATAAGCTAGGGGGTGAATCCTAAGGTGATCCAAATAATGAAACCATTACTAAAGGGATATGAAGAAAGATATAATCCATAAAGAAGAGAGAAGCCATCAGTTTGAAGCCCTTGTGTGGTAAGACTGATGACTAATAATGAATGTTTTTAGTATAAACAAAATATGAGAAAGAATGACATATACTGTACAGTACCTAATAGTAGATAGAAGCGGTCAGTATTTAAAACTTCAGGAGTCTTTATTACTGCTGCAGTAGTGGTGGTGGTGGTGGTGTTGTGTGTCACAGCCACTGCTGTGGGGTTGGCTTCTGCTTTCTCATTAGCATCCTCTCCAGCTTTATCAAAACCTCCTGAACTGAGCCAAAGTGCAGCAGCATACAGCATGGGAGGCCAGGCACTCCGGTAGTAGGGGCGCACTCCCTCCACACTCTCATTTGAATAGAAGGCTCCTCCATCATGAGGAAGCTGACTAGAAAATTCTGAAAGAAGAAAATAAAATTTTCAATATTTACCTCAGAGGAAAAACTTTTCATCACATTTTACATAGCTTATAATACCAAGCTGAGTCCCATTTACCATTAATGAATATACTTTTCACAGGCCATTCGAATCAAGCTATTTTTGGCATTCACATCACATGCCTTTTGCTGTCACTCCCCAGAGCAGGGGAAAAAAAGGGGGAGGGGCAAAAAAATTGCCTTAAATAGTGGTTCAGAAACACACTGGGAAGCACTCATAAATCTGGACTGAGACAAGTTCATGAATTTTTTAAGAGCAAATTTTATATTTGGAAGCAAAAGCTTTTCCCTTTTCAAAACTACTAAGCTATAAAATTTATCATCATATAAATGATGGTAGTTGCATGGACTATATTATTGGCAAGAAATTACAATCCTGGTACAAAAATATGATGGAAGCCTGCTAGGGGGCTCTGCATAACACTGGTACCTGGTACCAATTCTAATCAATTTCATAACTTGTAATAATTAGTAACTTACCTGGTGGCAAGGAAAGTAGAGCATGATCCTTAAGAGCTGCTAACCAAGACTTGGACAGTGCCATCAACTCTGGCTGCACTAAACTTAACAAACTCTCCTCGGATGGTTGTGTGGCTGTTTCAGCCTCAGGTCTGTCATCCTCCACTTCATTACCTAGTCGATCATCTCCACTAGCACCTTTTAGAGCAACGGCATACACCTGAAGGAACACAATTGGACTGGTGTTTTGAAAAAAAAAAAGGGAGGGGGGGAATTGATGCTGATGTCTCTTTTTCTGGAGACTACTGGAACCAATTACATTTCTGACTTCTGCTAAAAGTATAATCACATTACTCATACCTGAATAATTTTGTTTCCCTATATAAAGATATCTAAAGATACTAAAATACCTGAAGAAGATTCCACAATACAAGTCTGCCTCAAACCATGAAAAATAATTAATCATGACAAATCATTCTCAACTAACCTCTGCCCAAGCTTTCAATATGGCAAGCTTCTCAAGAGTAGCAGCACTTTCATTATACAGTCCCTTGGTATTGCCTTTGTTCAGCTTAGCCAGGGATGACACTAGTAACTGGTGAACACGCCGAAGGTCATTCAGATCTCGAGCAACACCTGGAAAAGAATGTGAGACTAAAATAACCAAAGTCAGTGAAATCTTAATATAGTACATCCTTATATCACTACTGTACATAAAACCCACAACAAAACAACTCGCACAAAACAATACAATCTCATTCAAAGTAGTGTATCTATAACACTCTGTACACGTGTATCATTAATATCCACCAAATGAGAAAAGTTCAAGAGAAATACCTGAACAAATCCATGCACTGCAGACCTCACATGCCCGGGCAGTCACGTGGGAAGCTGTGTCTGGAGCAAATGCTGGCCGTAGTGCAGCACCAACCTACCAACAGCGGCCACCTTTATTAGTAAACTGAAGCAATGCCACTGTATATCTGGTGACTCTGTACCTGAGAAATTTGGCTTTACACTTGACTGCTTATCAATTTATTCATACAAACCAAGTGAGTTGTTCTCTTTATAACACAGTGTAAGATATATGAAACTTATAAGAAAGAAAAATTAAATGAGTTAATAAACATTTCAATTACAGAATAGAGTGAATTCTTGATGCTGGAAAATTTAAGCACAACTTTTATGTAACATTAACTCCCTCAAGTCAGAAGAATCCAACATTAAGGTCAGATGGCAACACACCTGAGCCTGATATTGTTCAAGTATCACATGGCCAAGAAATTCTGGTTCGGGAACATGGGAAAATTTGTCTATGACCAGATGCAAGATATGGAGACCCTCCAGTCGCAATTCATCACTATCGCTCGTTGCTCCCATAAAGCCCATACGCACCACCTCACTCAAGTGTAGCACCAAGTAGTCTCCTGTAAATGTATATACATGTCACACTTTGTTCTGATTCTCTTCTTTTTTTTTTTATTCCCTAAATACAATTTCCTCTCCAGTAAGTATTTTCATTAATCTTTGTTGATGATTACCTTTAGGGGTGGAGAGTATGTCATTCCCTTCATTATATACTATAGTATTTCTTCTCTTTTTTTTATATATGCCAAAGGTAGCAGGAAGGTCCCCTCCCCAACACACAAACAAAAGGTCCTACCAACTGAGATAAAACTGCTCTATCATACCTTTCATTTTTGTTGTCTGAATTTCCCTAGCAAGAGCCAAATCAAAGTGTGCACGATTATTTTCGCACTCCTGAATAATCCTGGCAATGCACTGAGCAGCAAACACACGGGTAGTCCAGCGGGGAGGTATACTAGGGTGAGGGTCAGGTTCCCCTCCTGTGTGAATCTGAACCATGTCATCATCAGCACCTTCTTCACCAGTCTCGCCTGTGTTCTCACTGGTGCCACTTTCTGGAAATATCTCACATGAATAAGTATTCTACAATCAATTTTTCTAAACGTTTCCTGAAATAAATAATATCGTCGTCTCCAATGTTTTAAGGACATAATACATATTAGAATATAGATGATAAAGTAAAGATGTAGTATGGAGCTAAGTATATAAAGGGAATGAAAAACTGAAGTACAAGCTGCTGTCTAAGGAATATTAATGTGTTGCTTTCCACATTGATGGCACCAAAGACTAACCACCTAGAATGAGTCAAAGACAAAGGTTAACCAAAAGTATAACTAAGGTTAAAAAATCATAAAGATTGCTCACACTGACCTACTTTTGATGTGATGCTGTACAGTACTATACAGTACATCAAGTTTCATGACTGTGTGACCAATGGTATATGAGAAAATCAAGTAATGTATAAGTACTGACTTAAGTACAGTATAGAAAGACATAAGGTCAAGAGTAATTTTTTACCCCTTCTGCATTCATGGCAAGACACAAAATATTAACAATATGCAAAAGAATAAATCAACATGAAGACTTATATTGCAACAGAACTGTATACAGGTTTACCAATACTGTATTGTACTGTGCTCACCTGATGCACTTGTCAGAACTTCACGACATAAAGTGAGCCACAGATTGAGGTGAGAGGTGGCGAGAGCTTGTAACATAGATGTTAGAGTGTGATGCACATGTCGAACTAAAACACAATCTGTTTCTGTGTCTAGAAGACCAAACAATAAGCCTGGGAGTCCTGTCTCTGTCATAGCCAACCCTGAAGGAACAAAAACATGTACTGTATTATATATGAGCAACAATACTAATGCCCTGCCCAAACAGTCATCTTTCCATATCATAAACCTCCACAATAAAGTTACTTTTGAGTTTGTATACTATCCTGATCATTAACACTACCTTTTTTCAGTTACAACCACTAAAATTAAATACGTAAATGATCATGGCTCTTGCATCTGTTGAAAAAATCCTCCACTTTTGTATGATTAACTGTACTTGCACTATAATACAGGAAATATAGAAATATAATAAGCAAAACTATATCTTTTAATATAAAAAATGACTGAGCAAAACATACCCTGCTCCTGTTCTTCACTGCCTTGTGAAAGGCTCAAGGCGTGCTCACACACTTCCCAGGCTTCACGCTGTGACAGCTGTCTGAGACATGAAACAGCAGCACGGCGAAGTAGTAGATGATCACAGCTAAGCTTTCTCTGTTGTCGGGATGAAAATATATAGGGTATTAAAACACTAAAGAACTATCAACTTATTTTCCCTTCCCTCTACCAAGCAAAATACTGGACCCAATTTCCCATTAACCAAATGTCAACAACACACTATCCCCATCACTTTCATCTTCAATTCACCCTCTACATATCTTTCACTGAATTTCTATCACACATATTAAACCTGCATCACTACTCCTTTTTAACTACAGAATAAAAAAAAAATGACGCAATCCCCTCACATACTGCCGACTCTTTCCCTCACACTTTCACTTCCACCTAATCAATCTTATTTTATTCAGCAGGATGAAAATAAGATACTTTGTTTGAATAATAATGGTTTCAGTAAATAAACTTAAGGATAATTCTTCTGGAGGGATTCATAACACATACTGAAGTCATACATTGTGTATAACATTAAAATACAGAAACCAGCTCAGTAACATGGCTGCCTTAAATGATCACAATGTAAATACAATAAAGTATAACATGTTAATATCTTCTCCATTTACATTAAACAAAACGAACAATAAACAGAAGTACAATACTGTAAAGGAGATACAAACGCCCATCACAAACATCTGTAACTATAATCCCATTTTTTACATTACTTTATATATCTTAGCATCATTTTAATTACCCTGTACAGCACTAATTACAATATTTTTTATGTATAGGATATTATTGTTGTTTTGTATGGGCAGGGTTGTGCTTCAACCTAATCTATGGAAATAATACTGTTCCAACTTCTGAACAGGGTCCAGGAAAGTAACCCGTTCATAACTCAGGGATTGGCTGTACAGTATACTAAATACTTTGTTCAATGCAAGCATCCTAGAAAATATATCAACATTTCCAAATATCTGTACTGTAATAGATTAATATCTCCTCTAACATACAGTATTTGCTTCAATAAAAATATTATATTAATGTACTGTATTGATACTGTACTTATATATTTTTCTACAACACCAAAAATAAATTATACTAATAACTGTATATCTAAATCTAAATCCATAGTATTTGGTGACGTGCCTGTGTTTGTCAGAGACACATAGGCTGCCTCACCACAGAGCTCTTAATTATATTTTTGTTCAATACAAAACCACCAAGTATTAAGATACAGTACAGTGTTTGAATAATAATCTCTATACTATTTGTAACTCACCTTTTATTGATCCTAAACTGTACAGCAACACCACTGAGTACTGTTATATGTCCAGGAACATTTGTTTCCATTTTTACACCTGTTCATTGGCTTCCCAAAATGTTAATTCACTATCATATTGGATTACTATCAAATAAAGACTCATCATTGTCAGCTTTACCTTAACTCAGAGGTTACTTCACAGTATGACAACTTACCACAAGCATAGGGACGAGGGAAGAGAGGTTGACATGTCTAGGTGCAAACATATGCATTTGCTGCAGACATGCAATAGCCTCAGCTTGCACTAATGGGTCAGGATGTTCCTGTACTAGCCCACATCCACACAGAAGAGACCACCTCACCATCACTACGCTGCTGTTCGTCCCTAGAAAATCAACAGTTATTTTTGGAGTTTAATTTTATTCTGGTGACTCCTGGGTAATGAGTGACTATTTAAGACAAGTCTATTATGAATGTACTGAATATATTTCTTGATAAGAACTAAACGGAAACAAGCAACATACAGTATAGAGAAATAACCTACAGTACCTTGTAACTCAGGACCAACAGTAGTGATGAGTGCTTGAAGACACTTTCCTATACACTGATGGACCTCTGCTGTGTGGGGGGGAACAGACAGCAGAAGTTCTAGGAGCAAGGCTAACGATGGCTCAACATAAGAGCGGAACATTGGGCCCCCAGAATCAGCAATAAGAGATAATGCGTGAAGAGCCCAAACCTGGCAAAAAGGAAGAATGTTAACTAGAAATGTATATATGAAGGTTGTTCCTGAAATCCCACTTTATATCAGAGGCTGGAGTGAATGACCCATGTTATGTTACCAGCTAAGTCAATAAGGTTAAACCACAGATTAACCCTTTAAAGTAATGACTAGGAATTGATCAGATAATTAGCTACATGTTTTAGTTATAACCAATTAACAGGTAAATAGATATATAGCATCTTTAAATATTTCATAAACCAAGTTCATGCTGGAAATTCTCCAATAATAATAATACTTTAATATTCAAGATATACAATTATACACTCTATATAATGTATATACAATTTACAAAGAAAAGATATAAAAAAATTTCAACTATCCACAATACAACTTATTACCTCTGGAAAATAAAAATTGTCATTAGAATATGAGAATTCAGCATGCCAAGACAAGCAGAAAATCGTGCATGTTTTACCTGTACTACAGGTGAGGTAGTGTCCTTGGCCAATGCCAAAAGAATACTGATGGAGGTACTGAGGTGCTGGCCAGAGCCCATACCTCCCACATAGCGATGCAAACAACCAAGTGCTAAGGAGTGACCAGTGCGGCTCACTGCATCACGCGCACTCTTCAGTTTATCAAAGCTGTTCTGAGCCATCTCTGCCACAAATCGTGGGTCTCCCACAACCTGGGCCATGCGACCAATTGCTTCACCTGATGCACACCTCAGTGTTGAATTGGGGTGTGTTAAACCTCCCTAGAAGAAATAACTTCTCTTATTTTCAACAATTCACTTAAGACATGAGAAATATTTTATTATATTCTTAGCTTTCAAACATTAAGTCCTCTACTAACAAGAGATCACAATTATTTTAGAATCATAACACAGATATATTAATTAAAAAGATGATTACATGCAACTTTTGTATAATTACACTACCTACCAATAGGAGAGCTGTTGCAGCTTTTTTTACATCATCTTGACCGAAGGATGCCTTATTGTCACTCAGTACTTTCAGTGCACTCAGTACAGCAGTAAAGATATTCATCTGGACAGCTTCCTGGCGTTGACTCTTGGCTGCTCGAATCATATCGCCAAATAAGTTTAACATCTGGTAAAGAAGAAAGTGAGAAAAGATAAACACCTTCAATAAGGTTCTGGTTACAGTATTGTGAAAAGCACAAGAATAAACCAAAACACAGTAAACTTCATTGCAAAATGTCAAAGTATAATAGGTTTTATTGTGGGTCAGGAACTAAACCCTATCTTTCCCATTTATTATATTATCTGCTATCCAAATATTTGATATCTGAATGGCTTTCAAGAAACCTAATCCATTTGGATAATGAGATATACCTAGTTGCTGTCCCCATGTGCCATAGGTGAAATCTTACAGAAGGAACTTATGAAAAGAAAGAATTTCAATGTTCAATGTGCGGGATCATCAATAAAGATCTAGAAGAGCATACAATGAGGGACTGCTGGCTGGAAATAAGGAGCAGTATGTGGTACAGGTTCCTTTGTAGTCTTAGTTCTGTATGTATACTCATTTTCTAATTATCTTATTAATAGAAAAGTGTCTTGTAATGATGACAGGATTCTACTTTTGGAGAGTTGTAGTGGAGGAGGGAGGATGACTTGTCCTCTCGTCTATACAGTACTGTAAAATCCACCATTCCTACTGGCTGCTACTGTAGTTAGTTATAAAGCATTTGTATAACAGCCTTGTAGCTGATTTATGTTAATTGAATGGGAAGAACGAATACAGTATGCCCCTCAAGCTCGCGGATTTTTACTTCGCGGTTCTCGGTTATTCGAGGATGACACACTGGATGTACCCAAGAATGTCTAAGGGGAGTTTTAAAGTTGCCGGCATTTTCACAGCTGGGACAGGGAGCCATTCATTCTAGACAGTAATTTCCTTTACCTGTATTGTAGATATGTGTACACAAAACACACAAATAAATAATAATGAGAAAATCCTTTCACAAATAATCAATAACAAATTTATTAAAAATGTCACAGTCTACCCTCAAGTCTGTACTCTATTACTTTATTAAAAGAGCACGGACTTGAGGGTAGACTGTCACATTTTTAATAAATTTGTTTTTGATTATATTATTTGAGAGGATTTTTCAATTATTATTTATTTGTATGTGTTTTGTGTGTTTGTGTGTATGTGTGTGTGTCTACACATACACACACACACATATATACAATACTACAGGTAAAAGAAATAATTATTCTAAGGGCAAACACATAAAGGGAATATACATTTCTTTGTACACAAGTAAAATTGTAAACCCCTCCCCCCACCCCCCGTCTGCAAATGTTATTTGCATACTGTATCTGGCGATTTGCGGCCATAAACCTAACCCCCACAAATTTGGAGGGCCCCCCTGTACAGTACTATAATTAAAACAAAAAAGAGCTATGGTAAATATAATAATTGAAATATAATTACAATTATTAATTCCTCCGGTTAAATCATCTCTGCACCAACAAATTAAGGCTCACCTTTAATCGATGTTTATTTGCCACCAGAGGGAACATCTGACCAAAGAGCACCACTGAAGCATCAATGACAGTAACTCCAAGAGGCAACGGGCCAGCAATGGTCTCCCCTTCAGCCAGTGGCCGGTACAGGTATGTGGGATCATGCTCAAGAGCTCCTGAACCACTTGCACTGTTTGGTTGTAGCTGGTTTGGTAAAATATCAACCTTAGCAGTATAGTAAAGTACTTCAAATTACATTTTAAATTTAATTCCAATAATATATACAGTACAGTATACAGTATCTTACATAAAATGGTAACAGAATATAAATATTGTATTGAAGAACCTGAAAAATATGATATAAATTTCAAGAGCAATAGGATGTTTAAAGTGTACATTCACAATATTTAAGAACACATTACTTTCTACAATAGCATATCACTTGCAACATACTGTATTGTAAAATTCTAAAAAATAACTGATGATGTGTGTCCAGAAGAAACAATGGTTGACAATGTCTCATAAGATGAAACTAAACTAAACTAAACTAATAAATGTAAAATGATGACAAATTCAAGTTAATATTACCTGATCTTCAATGGTTTTATGATGTGTGTGGTGTAGCCAGGTACCAAGTATAACGGAGTCATCTGCGTGACACATAGTGCGCAGGAGGGAGGTGGTGGTGTTTGCACCACTCTCTGCCAGGGTGAACTCACTCACCAACAACTTCAAGATGCTTGTGTAGTGGCCTGGGAAAAGATTAGTTATGAATACACAGTTAGCATAGAAAACTATAATGAAACTAAATGTATATTAAGTTAAAGAAATGTATAAGATAAGTTAGACCTGGAGGAAAACTATTGAGAGACCCAATGATCACATGAAAATATGTACAGTCGTGACAACTTATTTGGTTGTTTTTACAATGTCAAATGCATAGTATTCTACTCATTCAACAATACACTACTGTACTGTGTTTCTTTTACTATCCAGGTGTACTGTGAGATACACTGGTTCAATTTACATAAAAAATAACTGTTTTTGGTTTATGTCTCATTTATCTTATTATTGTTTTTTATCTTCTACTACAGGATAATATGTTGAAAAAAACATTAAAATACCTGAATTATGTACATCATGTCATTCACTCAAGTCATACAAATTCACAAATATAGTAACAAATGATTGTCTTTAAAAACATACATGTCAACACATTTAATCTTCTTATTATACAAGCACACATATCAAGATATGTTTCCTTATTGTTGTAATAACAAAAAATATGTGCTTACTTTCAAAAGACTGGGGAGGAAGAAGAGAGAGCACCTCGTAGAGTCGGAGACGTACCATAGCTGTGGAGGCCTTGAGGTGTTGGCCATACTGCTTCACAATGTGTGTTATACTGCAGTGAAAAGAAGTTTCCAAATTTATTTGCAATTAGTACATGGTGTGAATAGTTTTTTGTTATAAATTATAATTCCTTTTACCTCTGAATTAATCTTGTTTTGAAGGCTAATTAATCTGCTAACAATTTAATAACATTTAACAATTTTATTAATGATTAAAAGGAACTCATACTGTACTATGACACCAAGCAGAAAAAATTCCAAAGGTCATAACCATGTCATCATCATCAACATTCTCTGGCCATTTTCCACACGTGTGTGGGTTAACCATGATTACTTGATGGCAGCTGTTGGGTAAAACCAGAACAGGATGTCCCCCCCTACCCACCACCTGCCCAGATAAAGCAGCAGTGGCCAGGAAATGGAAACAGCTCTGGTGACAAGGTTGCCATCAGGCTTGTTGGAGCAGCTTTATGGCTGGATGCCCTTCCAAACACCACAGGGTGGGGCACAGTTGGCAAGGTAAGGTCACAACTCCCTGAGGCAATCAAAAATTTTGACGGGCATTACTGCAGGCAGTGGAAGACATAATAACAAGGTTCTTTTAACTGTAATGACACCTGTAACAATCCAATTCACTAAGCTAGTAGCCTGTTAGTTTGGTATAATCAACTGGGTTGGAAAATTACTGATCAGGGCTGTTAAAGAAAAAACTCAACTGGGCTCTGGGTTTGAAGATGGCCAACATAATAACCACTCTACCACCAAGTCAGGTAAATTTAACTATTCAAGTCACTCAAATAAATCTATCCTCTTTATCTATCAAAGAACAGTACCTGGAGAGCATAAGAAGAGCAGCTTCAATTGGAAGAAGAAGTCTCCGCACAGTGTCTTCAGCAGCCAGTTCAGAACAATGAAGCAAAAAGCTATGCATAGATGCAAGGGCACCTGCTCTGCCTTCCAGAGTTACCTAGATAAGAAGGAAAACATAACCATCAACAGTAGTACAGTGCAGGTATATGTGTCTCTGAAGCTTTGTTCCCCCAGCAGCTAATGTGGGAGTGGCCACTTATAACATTTCTTCAACATTTTCACATCAAGTGGTAAAGCAAACATGTGCTACAGAATTTAACCTGTAGATCTAACAAAAAGGTGAGCAGTTACCATCACTTACATTCAGTTTCAGCTGCCCAAGGGAGAAAGGATGGTATTTGAGCTGCCTAAATATGGGCTCTCTCAACTCTCAGTTCTAAGTGATAAACCCCCCATTTATCATACTTCTCTCTGAGGGCTAAGGTTGTGATGGTACAGTTGCACTAATTGTTTATGTATACTCGATGGTAAATGTTGAGTTTGTCTGAGTTGCAACTCTTAAACCTGATGAATAAATACTTAAGTCTCCTTGGACACAAATCAGGCTATTTAAACAAAGGACAAATTATCACAGACTCATATATACAGTACAAAGGTGACAAGAATAAAGACAACTTTAACTGGTTCTACCTTACCTGCCAAGTAAAAGCATCTCCTCGAGCTTTCTCACTCTCAATCTCCTTACTAGATCTCGGGAAAGAATTCTTCCACAGCAGCAGCATCCGAGGAAGTAGCCCACGCACAACACCAATGCCTGCAATTAGCAAAGTAATTTATAGATTATTGGTCTTTATTAAGAAATAAAAATATACTTGATATGTGTCACTATCAAATCTGTTCATTTAGTCATCCCCTTGATAAAGATTGAAGTTATTCTGAAGAATGAAGTTTTGACTGGAAGTTATATGAAGTAGGAAAAATACTCAATGGTAGGGACTTCTAAAAAGTTCTGGTACAGCATTTTTTTTTTTATATAAACCTGAAAAACATTACATATATGAAATAAAATAACTATCTCTTCTTTAAATCATATCTACTAAAGTAAAAAAAAAAAAGCAATGTTTAAAAAAATTCCTCTGTGTGTGATTTTTTTATATGCTAAGAGGTTTTCATTATTCTAAAACTGGAAACATACCAAGTGTCATGATGGAGCCAATGATGAGCCAGCCCGCCTGGGTTCGGTGGAGTGACAGCCGAGAATTTTGACTCGCTGATCGAAGCAACTCCTCCGCAATATTGAAGAGAACTTTACCCCGCATGTGTGGGATTCCAAGAGGAGTCTTTTGTACACAGCCCACTAGTGCTGACACCACACAGCTGTTAATGAAGAACACATTAAGTTGCTACTCAATTCCATTATGTCAATTAATGTTAAAGTTTCCCAGTAAGAATATTCTACAGGAGCATTTAATGTGTTTTCTAGCTCATCATGGCATGGAGTCACAGATCTGAGCAGCTTCTGTATTTATTGTACTGAACTATTATTCAATTAGGTATAGATTGGTAAACACCACTTGAAAGTCTTCATATGAGGCAGGATCTATTGTAAACATTCACATTCAGTATTGTACAGTATTTATATGTTTTTCTAAGTGGTTTTGTGTTGGTAGTGAATATGTACTCAAATACTTATTAATCACATTTCCAAAATAATCACACATTCAAAAAAAAAAAGCCTCTGGTCCCATAGAATTTCAGATTTTCAGGCAGTGTTCTATAAATATTTATTTTCTCACCCCATCAACTATAATCCATTTATTACAATACTGTACAGGTATTCCTCATCTAATGAAAGACTTTTCTTCCCTAAAAGCCCCTGTGATAAGCAAAATTGCAATTCAGTATAAAAACCAATTTTCCATGAGAAACAATGTAGAATACTGTAATTAGGGGGTGCATACCAGGCCGGGAATTTTGAGGATAATGTACAGTATTTATGCCGAGTTTTCATTCAGGAACAATTATAAATTTATAAAACATTAAAATTCATACAAATATACTGTATACTGTGCAGTATAAATACAATATAAAATACAAATCTTGAAAAAAGGGTTACTCATAATGTTACGTGAATTCACAAATATGGAGTTGGGACAAACAGGAAGATAAGTGTATACAGTTAGAAATTTGTTCAAATCAGGATAACCTTGTGCTCATTAAATTATTGAACTCTGAACCACATCATTTGTATAGAGCGGTCTAAGTGTTAACGAACTGTCCAATAAATATTGCATTGGAATGTAAGTTTGAAACAATAAAGAATTATGATGTACAATTATATTTAGGTGTTTAGCAAATGATTAGCAAAATTTCACGTGTTTAATGTTTATTATGAAAATCTGTACCTTTCAGAAATTCAACCATGGAGAGATACCTATTAACACAAATTTGTGATGTCTACCTGTAAATGTGAAAGTGAGACCCATAGGCATGACTGCCCATTAGGGTCAGTGTGCATACAGCACACTGTATACCGTACTAAGTCTTTGGTACACAAGGGGGCAGCATGGCCGGTACTACTTGAGTTGTAGTAATGAATGGTTTATTGAGAGAATTATATGGTTTGGTGACATTTTCCAATACTGTACAGTATCTCACTAAAGTATCTGCCAAGATAGGTCTGATGACTTCCAAAATGCTCCATGCAACGCATGATGTCCCAGGAGAGTTGGTGTGCGTGGCTACTACATTTGGTACCCAAATATAATATTAACGAAGCCAAAATAAATACACATTACATTACGTACTTATGTTAAACAATACTGGATACTGTTCCAGAATAAATGCATGTCCCAATATCTATCATCCGTGGTCTCACAATGTTTCACACAGTGTGTGGACCGATACTTTTTTTAAGACACTGTACCTATATCCAGCAATGGCTTCTGGCGATGACTTGAGAGCATCCAGGCGATCACAGCAACGGGTGATGAGAGGATGGAGCTGGGAGGGGAGAGCGAGGCAGATACACCGTAAACACCATGATGCACTCAGTCTTGCTGCACTACTTGGATGAAGCAGCACAGCAACTACTGCATCCACCAAATCTGTGAAATATAATCTTAATAGAATAAATCCAAATTTTATTTTGACATACACAAAGAAAATAGGGAACTGAAAATCAGTACTGTACAATAAATGGAAGAATACACTGTTGCCTTCCTTATCAATTAAACACATATAATATATACTGTAAATCCAAAGGTCACTTGAGGAACCAGTGGGGCTGTTCAGACTGGAGTCTGTTTCTACAGCTTGTGTGCAAACTGGGGTCAATGAAGTAGAAAGACACTTACAGGTATTTCATGCCTTAATCATTTGTGACAGACTGATTCTGAAATCTTACTTTAATCCAAACATGGATTAAACAACTCGTGCAAAGTCAATAAATCTACAGCATGACAACCAGTGTGAACAAGAACCCGAGCAAAATGCTGAAATTAAGTCCCAGAAAAAAAAAAAAACACTCTGGCCATATTCCCCCATATATATTTCCTGTCCTCATATGCTGTATATATTTCCCATCTTCCTTCAATGTAATTCACTAAATCACTGCTTCCATAAAATTATAAATATCACTTACTCAGATGTGTGTCGAGGATGATTGTAGAACTCGTGGTGCTGAGGGACTGCATGAGGCAACCTAACTCTTGTAACAGACACACCAGTACATGCTGACCACCTTCTCCTACATCCTTGGTGCCTTCCCCACTCACATCTGATCGTAGTAAATACAAATTCAAATGAGCTTCTTGTGTTTGAAATGGAGGAAGAATTAGAACATTATCAGATACAGTACAACAGAGAAAGAGTTGGAAGTGTTCTAAAAATGTTAATGAGTATGAAGTAGTCATATTTAACCTGTAGTCTTCCTAAAGTAATGAATGCCTTTACCACAACACACTGAAAACTCTCAAACCATCGCTCTCCCTACCACTTACTGAACATATAAAACCACACTTAACAAAACCTTCCCCACTATAACATGACTCATTCAGTACAAGCTTAACATATCTCTTTCTGTATAATACCTTTAGTAACCATTTACTGCAGCAGCCTCTATCTCAAACTAAATTTTATGTCCCATATTATATGATCTCAAAGATTATTAAATGCTAAATTTGCTTGCCCTAGTCTTGTTTTAAGCTCGCTTTCATAGCTACCATCAAAATTTTTTATTCTTCAAACAAACTAAATGTTCCATCTCATAAGTTCCCTGTTAATGGTATGTATTTAAATAAAAGGGGACTTATTTCAAAGCCAATATTTTGACTTTTTCCAAGGGACTTTATTTTTATTCGCCCTGAATCTGCATCCCCCTCATAAATTCTTGGATTCGCCCCTGAATATAATTTTCAGATCCAAAGATGGAATGGAACCGAAGGGTATGACAGTGAATGTGGCAAAAGCAAAAGTAAAGAGCATTGGCATGAGTGAAGAACCTGTGGTGGAAGTGGAAAATGGCTAAGTGCTGTCTGTAAGAAAGGTGTTGGTAGCAACTCAATAACGTACAATGAGTGTGGACGGTGGGTACACGAGGTGCAGTTGTGTAAATATCAGACTGAAGATGTTGCACTGTAAGTGCAATAATCATGTGGTCTTAGCAAGGCTAGAGAAACTTAACATTGTGGATATATCTCAGGACCGTGTTGATGAGTGCTGGAGGTGGTGCTAAAGCTACAATACTGTAGCTTAGTTGCAAGTGTTAGGAATGGTGGAAGAAGTTTAGGGAGCTCTTGCCTATATTGACGGGAGGACCTTCTCTTCGTGTGAAAGGAAAGATGTATGCAACCGACTTGAGATGTGTGATGTTGTAAGGCAGTGAAACATGGGCAGTTAAAGATGACATACGTAGGCTTGAGCGAGCTGAAATGAGAATGGCGAGATGTATGTGTAATGTGACATTGAAAGATAAAACACCCTTTTCAGAGCAAGAGGGCAGAGCTGGATATTAAGAGTAAAGTATTGGTGAAGTAGTGCAAGAGTATTAGGTATCAACCCAGAAATAAAATCGGGAAAGCTTATTTTTTTCTGGAAAGCTTCCTGAATATCCATCGAGTCCAATGGTGAAAAGTCCCTTAGAGTTCCACCTGTGGCAATTCTTTCAAGATGGCTGCTGTCATGGTTGAGCGGTGTTATACTACACACTTACCCCCCTGTAATCTATCTCATCTCGGTTATTATATAGGATAGAAATGTTTTTGGCTTCTATACACATGTTTTTGAGCACGAGGAAGCAAATCAAACTATCAGAAATTAAGTAGGATGCACCTTAATTAACATAAATCTAAGATGGCTACCATTTTGTGTCAAGGATGCTGAATTGGCCATAACTTCATTGTTATTGAAGATAGGATGGTGAATTAGGAGTCTCTACCCATGTTCCTATTTTTTCTGGGTTGCCATGGACATCTGCTCTAATGCACTTGCACTAAAAGTCTTACACAGAGGTAGAGTGAGATGGCTCAAGCATGTGAAGAGAATGGAGGAGGCCAACTGGGTCAACAGATGCATGAGTTTGAATGTGGAGGGGAGGAGACCAAGGGGTAGGCCAAGAATGACATGGGGTGAGGTTGTGAGAAATGACCTCAGAGCATGGAACCTGAGGAAGGAGGCTGCTGGAGACACTATGCAGCATGGTGAAGTGCAATCAGGTAAATGTAACTAACCCTAAACAAACATGGTAAATGGCCATAAAACAGTGATGATAGTGATAGCTCACAGCTTTGTCTAACTCTGCGTGTCAAGATTTCCTTAATATTTCTAAGATGTGTAAATTCATGGTGACTTACCCTATCTTTTTTTCCTTTTTTTAAATTCCACAAAACAGATATTAATATTTTCTAATGACTTCTTGCCCTTCAGCATACACTTTTACCATCAACTGACTCATAGTCTACTGTAATTTCAATTTTATTTAAGGTACTTTATCAGATCATTCTCTGCCTTTTTCATTCTCTTACATTTCTCATTCACACTTGACTTTTGCCATTCTTCTATGTCTGCCACCCTCTGAGTTTTAAAAAAGCAGCTGTGGTGACCCCTATCAATAACCAAGACTTCTGTGCCTTTATCAAGTTATAATATTCCTTTCATCTTATATGAAATTCTGGGCAAAATGTTAAATGAAATAAATTTACCTGACAACATTCAAACAGTCATATCCTTCAACTAGTAATGTGAATAGAATTGCCCTGAGCAGGAAAATGGCTTTATCATAGAGGAAAATTCATATCCAGACTCATGAGAATATAAAAATTTACAAAAAGTAATACACAAAGCAATGTGGACAAGTGCGTTGCTGAACAACAACATTCATGATAAAATGATTTATATATTTCTTTTTTTTTAGTACAGTTCCCTCTTACTTACCCACACTGTTCATGTGCTTAATTATTAGCTGTGTAATTTCTTTGCAGGCAGCAATCTGAGCCTTCTCTCCAATCATGCGACCAAGGGTAGCTCTTAGGATAAAATTGACGCATTTGCGGGAATACACAGCATCAACATGTGATGTGGTGGCCTTAGGGCTGGCTACCAGCTCTGTCAGATGAGCCAAGAGGGTTGGAATGTTCCGCTCTAACCACAGAGCTCCTAATTCTTGAACAAGCACAACATATGCCTATAACACAAAGTTGAAAACATACTGTATATTCTGTGTCACACTACATAAGAATAAATGCAAAATAGCAATAATTTATATATACTGCATATAAATTTAATGAATTCAAACTGGTCTATATATAGGAGGCTTTGGGGACATTATGTGTATAACTATAAATGAGCAGCATCTTTACAAACCTGATCTAAACAAGCAATAAATCACAGCAGTAGTATAACTAAATAAGTAAACATCAAATCATCATCCTCACCTGTGTAATGCCAACTCTGACCTCCCGTGACACAGAAGAGGAACCTTTGATCATTTCACCAGTTCCTTTAAGAAAGCTATTTCCTCCACGTAAAAAGCCAGTCAACAAGACTGTCAATGCTTCCTCAAGAGAAAATAACTTTACCAATCCTCCCTTACTACTGCCTGTGGAAGGAGTTCAGTTGAAGAAATGATAAGGATATACATACAGTATATGCAATTATTATTTGACAATTGTATCATTGCACACAGTGTGTTTATATATAGGTTCTATGTGGATAAGTATATATACTCATATGTGGACCATGCAATAATGGTAAGAATGTGGAGTTAAGTATATTGGTGTGTGTGATAACATGCAGGATTATATTTATTGTGGGAGTGCATTTATGTGTAGAATGAGCTTACATGGTTAGGTGTAGATGTAGGAAGGAGTCAGTAAAAACACAGTACAAGTTTAGAAAAAGAAGTTCCTTACCTTTCAAAAATTCTTTTGGTGGATTTTGTGTGGTAGCGAGAACAGTTCCTAGCAGCGTGGCCACTGTGCAACGAACGTCATAGTTGCTGTTGTCAAAAGAGCGGTAACACAGCTGGGAGAGATTTTCAATTTCGGTTGTGTAGAGAAAAGGTGCATGCTTCGTCATCTCCATCAGGCACTGTGAGATAATAAAGTCATGTAAATTAACACTTGAAAAGTATATAATGTCAAATAGAAAAAGTAATATATTAATACAAACAAGAAAAACAGATGTAAATTTCTATCAGCCACCTCCACTTCCACTCATTCCTAATACGTTCTCTATATTTCCTCACAAACCCCCCAAGTTTCCCATTACCAATTCTTGTATGGCAGTACAATCACTCTTTTATTTCTCACTCAAAAGCTTTTAATGCAGGTCATTAACCTCACTCATCTCATTCCCAGGTGTATCTGTACACTCAACATTATCCAAATTCTCTCTTTAATTTTAATCTGATCTAAAATTTCCTGTGACTGACCTTGTATTTTATCACACCACAAAACAACATTACCACACCTTCTTTAGCTCTTTCTTTCTCATACACATCTGATTTATGGTTGTCTTAACTCACCTTTCTTCTGTCACTCAGCTTTCTTTACAAAACATAAGAACATCCAAGATCCTTTCTCTCATCATATTTTCAATCACTCTCTCCTAAAAAACTGTGATTGTACCCACACACATTGAAACCTCACACATTTAATTGTTTTTATTTCATTTTAGTAACTAAATAAAAGAATACAGGGTTACCAAGCTCATGCCCACACATATAACCTGCCCCAATGCCCATATAATAAACAAGATCAATGTTAAAATATACACATACAATCATGTGTGCACCTCTTTGTAGAGGGTAGTCCATAACTGAAAGACAAATGGTTGAAAATAACACTGACAACTACAGGTATAAAAATAGTCTTAACTACACAGAATAAATAAATAGAAGCTCACCAGGGCAGATGCACATCTCACAGGCAAAGCTCGATCTGTCAGCCCCATCTTAGCTGCCTTGTATAGGTCCTTGTGAACATTTCCTGCAGCTGACCCCATACCAGCTGTAATCTTCTCCAGGGTCATCATAATTTCAATTCTCAGCTGAGATTCTGCATTTCGTAAAGCCTTTATTAGGATCTGTACAGTTTCCTCGTATGAACGTCCCATCATCCGCCCCAGTTTTTCATACATTGCCCCAATACAGGTAACAGCAGCCCTGAAGAAAGATAAAATGTTTGCTCCGGTAATGCATCAATGTTGCAAATCACAAACAATAAACAATTTCTGACTAAACAAAAACCAGAATAAAGCCATGCACACGAGGGCAAAGTAATAACAATGGCATTAATGGTGTTGATTTTACTTATGGATCCAACTCCTGTTATGTTTGCCAAAAACTGCTACATAAAGGAGAGCCATTTGTTCAGCAACATCATGGTGTTCTTAAGAATGTGTGGCTGGTTGAAAGAGACATAGTTCTCTGTGCAGGCAATTTTTGCTTATTCAACCCTCTGGGAACTTAATGCATAAAAAGTTGAACAGCAAGCTTTCATCCCTTGGCACTTTATTCAACTTCAGTCCACGGCTGTATGAAAACTTTTAGACTTGGTAATCTTCTTGACTATTGTACTGGAGTTTTGAACTGGACACTCAAGTTCCAGTCAAGTGCTGATGGACGCTGGCAACTACGGAAATGAAAACACACATGGATGCCATATGCACCTCAAGGATGCTGGATGCAGTGGGAGTTCCTGTCTGTTTTTCCTGCCATGATCCTATACAGGGGTAAGTTGCATACATATTACATACTGACATTAGTAATGAACCATATATAAATGTAGAATATTATGATACATAATATAATGAAATATTTCACTGAAATATACCTTGTAAGAGAAATGAGCGTGTTGTGTAACCTGTTTGTTGATACCGTACTGCGTTACTTCATCACCTCTTGACATTTCAGATAATATGTGTACTGGAATCAGTTATTAGGATGGTGGCCATCATTAGTGGAAGTTTCATGTTACTCGTGCTCCATATTTGCACAAATGGGGAGGATGGGGATTATTAGCTGCTAATAAGGGTTAATGTAAAAATATTGTACTGCATACTCAGTGTATAATCATACATAACTTACAGTCTTGTTGGTAGGTAGCTTGGAGAGTCATCTTTGTTCTTGAGCACATCATTGCATTTGTTGATGGTATCGAAGAGAAGGAATGTGTCTCCTACACTAAACAGAGTTGCCAGGCAGCGAGCCACAAGTTTCCGGGTTGGTGGTCCAGGAGATTCATTCATCTGCCCAACTAACTGAGCTACCAGCTGTTTCTGACATCCCTTGATATCAGACTGTCAAGAGAAAAGAAAACATTTTATAAGTTCAAGAAATGAAACTCAAAAGCAGAATTTTATTGTTCAGGTACATCTTGTTGAACATCCACTGAACACTTAAAAAATTTAAAATAGCTTTTGTTCATCTGCTTAACAAATCAAAATTAAATTGTGGAAAAAAAATCATTGTGTAGACTGTACCTACAACTTGTTCTTTACACTGTCATTGAAATACTATACAACATACAATGTAGAGACAAACCATATATATAGTTTGTCTCATTATCTATATTTGGTTTTCTCTGTACTGACAGGGAGAACACAAACTGAGGAGGAGGTAATCAGGGGTACAAAGGAAGGGGATATGGGGCCCAGAGACAAGGGTACAACTAGGGCCTGAAACAGTCTTAGGTCCTTTTTTAACAGCACTCATTAAACACATCCTTAGTGTCTCTACTGTTACAATAAGACTGACCTTATGTGCTGCTTCCAGTACTTTGTCCAAGAATCTCAGCCACTCAAATATAAAAATTGGCCTCTTGGTCGGTGGCAGCTGTTGGAGTGCCCCTTCATTGAGTGTTAGGCTATGACTCAGTTCCATCATGACAGTTCCTCACCATCTACCCCACCATCAATCTGAAGAGAAAGTTTTAATATATCAGTCACTATCACAAAGTAGGTAGGAATAAATTACCTATTGATTGTTAAAAAAAAAAAAACTGCTGAGATTCTATAGTTGTAAGAGACTGTAATAATACCATTCTTTCTGTTTAATATACCTGGGATCCGAGGGGAGTTTAGGAAGTTAGTTAAGGTCTCAACTCTTACATAGTTGTATTAAAGATTATAGGAAATTTTCTACAAACTATAGATCCTCACTTGTTAAAAATATTCCCCTTATATTCACTCACGGAAATAACATATGTCATAAACTCACTATATTATTCCTTTTTAACAAGATAAATTGATTATTGTATCACTGAGGAGTCTTACTGTTGAGTTTATCCCTGACGACCAGCTTCCCTTTAGGCCTCAGCTGACATTTACTGTGACACTGAGGACAACACACCTACCCAGGGAGAAAATTCAGGAGCTTCAATTTTGTCGATTTTTAAACTTAAATTAGTATTACATATACCAGTTGTTTATTTATAGATATAGAACAATATATATATTTTTTAAATATTATGCTTTTTAAGGTAATTTTAGGTTATAATAATAGTTATTTATCTTTTAATATGTAGTTTGTTTAATCTGATGTTCTCTCATGATTTTCTTGTCTACCACAGCCTTCATAGTGATGTTATATATAAACATAAATGTATATGTAAACAGATTGGATAAGAAGTCTTCTAACTTCATATACACATTAATAAAAAATATTATATTTTTAAACGTTTTAATTTTAAAGTTTTCAATAATATGTATTTTTTTTTACATCGGTCAGATCAAAAGCTAACTGGGGAGACTTCTTTAACTAAAATTAACACACTACAGCAGTTTGTTGATAGAGGGAGATTTAGATAAATATTAAAAATCGTCCTACAAGTTCACAGTTTAATTATACTTTATAAAATCAGTGTAGGCATACAAACAATGACTAACTTTTCTCTTGCATGGTGTTCCTTGGCCTAAGCTTTACTTTTTTTACTTTTATCCTCTTCGCCACTGATCGACTTGTTAGCCGCTTGGGCAGTCGGTCTCATCTCTGTTACGCACTGTTGGCAAGTGCTGGATCTTGAAACAGCTCACACTCTGACCGTCACAACACTCGCTGGCAGGTTGTTCCAAGAGTTCACAACTCTCACTCTAAAAAAGTTAGCCCTCACAGTTTTCTTGACTTGTGGCTTCATCAACCTTGGGGCTGTGACCCTGGTCCCCTTGTGGGACGGGTGTCCTCCAGCTCCAGCCCTTACTGGTATCATGACAAGGACCCTGGTCATCGATTCTTTAGTATCGGTCTGTTCCTTCTTAATGTATAATCTGTCCAAACCTTGCTGCATTTAACAGCAAGGGAGATGAGATGTAGGTGTACCTTGTTAATGGACGATGGAAGAGGTATTGTAGAGTGCCTTGGTGGTAGGGGGTGGAAGGGGCAGGTGTGGTAGTAGTGGACGACCTGTGTGTAATGGTGAACATCCTCGCCTCGCAAGCGAGCGGGCCCGAGTTTGATCCACGGGCAGGGTGAAACTATGGGCAAGTTTCTTTACGCCATTTGCCTGGGCCTCCCTTCCCCTGGCAGTATACAGATGAAACAAAACCTATGTAATCATCTGTGGGTTTTGTCATAAATTACACCTATTTTCGTGTTTCGGAAACCCAACCCAAACGTATATCGAGGTGTGTCTGTATTAGTTTTATGTCAGCCACATTGGAGGTATGATCAAGTGTTGTACGTGTTTCATGTTTTTTGGTGATGAGCAGCTGACAAAATGTTGTTTCTGCTGTCTTTAAGTTCAAGACCCACCATTCCCCAGGAAGACACTGTACAGTATAATATTTCTCAGTGGGACGCTTGTAATCCATTTGTGACTTGCTACATAATAAATTAATGAGTGTCCATAAAACAATAACAAGTCTATAATTCAAATCATAATGAAACATTTCTATTTTAATAGCTCTATCCTTTCAAGATTTTCACTGCAGCAGGTAAACAAGAAGCTTACATACTGCAGGGCCTTATGTATCCCTCCGCATGCATCTCGCTCCAAATAAAAATACACATAACTGGTATCAGAAAAAAATTGACATGCCATTTTTTTTTGTATATTTAAATACCGATGAGTCAACGGCCAGGTACAAATACAAATAAAGATGTACAGTACAATGGCTGTGAAAGACAACGTAATTACATTGGGCTGTTTGACAAACCCACTTCTATATATAAAGTATCAGAAAATGTCCCAAGCAAAGTTTACTTGTACAATAAATATCAAACTAATGTAAACTTTAATAGGAAGCACAAGCAAAATACAAAAATATAACTACAGTACAGTACATAATTTGGGATTCCAAAACTTGGGTACAAATAATGAACTAGATCCCATACTTTTATTAGTTTAAATAAAATGTAAATGAAAACATGATTCTGTTGGCAAAACAAGTTCTCATTTTTCTCCATGTATCATAAAAGAATTAATTACAAAGGCAATCTAGCAAGACATAAGTATCATTCTTCTCACTGGAGTCAAAACTCAAGTAACTATAACTTAGAAGGATAAAGTTTCCAGCAAAATAATCATTGGGACTAAGTTGCTTCCTCTTCTATAAAAGACCTTCAAAACATTAACTAGACCAGAACCCAATAAATCATGACTTCTTCTCAGTTGAACACATTTTCAAGTTATCTAGGATGAAGTTGGTCACACTCTTGATTATCCCTAACTCAGGAGGCCAGTTTCCTTTATAAAATATCCAACATATCAAAATTCTATTGCCATGCATTATTCATTATACACATGTGTACACTGTAAAATCAAAATAGAAATTGTGCCTCAATATCATAATCATAGAACATGGATAATGACCGTTGCTAACCAGATCAGGATTATCAACAGCAACCACAGAAGAAATTTTGCCTCCACTTTCCAGGTGTCCATTTAATCTCCAAAATCACAATACAAGCCTAACACAGTGTTTACAAAAAAAGAGTAAGTTTGTCCTTTTTTTTTCCAAACACCAAGTACAGACATCAACCGAATACAAACCCCAAATTAGGGCCTAAATTCTTAAATCACCAAGGTTATATTGTGATGCACAATCATTCCTGCCTTGTTATAATTATGTTGTTCATTTCAATTTTGATGATTTTACAGAATTCATTATTGTAAACGAACTGCATACACTGTACTATTCAATGATACATATTTCTTGTTGGTTATGTGCACAGAACAGGTTCAACGGAATCTACAGTACAGTACATACGTTGTAGAGTCAGCATGCATAAATTCAATCTAGTTTATAGTGTGTTGTATCTTAACATTAAGTAGCATAATGACTTACTCTGTTTGTACTCTGACTTTTCTTTGTAAAGAGCATATTATATAATTCTGGTAAGCTGTTGAGACCAAATCAGGCTGTGAATGTTTCATGATACTGTACATGTACAACACCTATCCTAGGTGAGGGAACTGTAATTTAGTTGTGTGGCAGTAAAACTGTCCTGCAATTGTGTGGTTAGACAAATGGTGATTTAAGAACTCCCACCCCTTCATAATTTGAGTGAAATATCTTAAATTAGCAAATCCAGTTATATCAAGATAAGTAAACATTTGTCACACAACCAAGAATTGAGATTTTAACTATGAGATGCCAAGCAGTAACTCTCATTCCTAGAGTGTAAATTTTCATGGCATCCTTAAATAATTTAATGACAACTAATCCTGTCATTTACAGACAAACCAATATGCACATAAGGTCATTTCATATTGTTTGCATCACAGGTGACACAAAACATTAGACAAATAATAAATACAGTACCTGACTTACAGTACAGTACTTCTATTTGCTTTCGACTGAAATTAGTAATAACTATTTATCCGTCTATGGCTTGTTCTGCATCCATGAGGGATTCCTACAAAACTTTACCTGGTGAGATCCATCCACAAAATAAAACTCTACACTTTAAATTTTCACCCCCCAAAAAAATATTTAACTAATGCTGTAATGAAAATCAATTCAAATTATTTTACCAATAATTACTTATTGAAATAAGTATCTCTTTTAACAATACACTTAAAAATATGGTCAAGAAAACATCACACTGTACAAAAAGCTCACAAGGACAATATCTCCTGTGTATGAAACAACAATGAGAGCATTCACCGCTACTGGAGCTAAAAGTGTCCTTCACTGAAAATGTTCTGCTGTTTTTAACAAGCAATCTGCTGAAAGGAACAATTAGCTGTCACTAACACTATTTAACTCTTTTTGATCAGCTATTACCCCACTGGATAACAAATTACACTCTTAATGTAATCATTAGTCATCCCATTAATGCTGCCTCAACCTGACAACAGTGGGAAACCATTACTGGTAAATTAAGACATTCAGCAGGACTCATCTCTTTCCAGCATCTCATCTCCAATTACAATACAGTAAATACTTTACTTATCACCTTTAATCATAATATACCTTTTAATCTATAGCATAATTTATTATAATAGTGAAACTCGTCATATTTCTCTGGTGAATGTTACTCATTGTATTACATGTGATATTATCTTTTTAATACCTAAAAAACTGACACCCTTAAGTGACCGCTAACACTATAACCAAGACACTTTACCGTCTTTTTATATAAACTTTTTGAAGGGCCAGGGACTCATTTTCACTAAAATTCTTACCAAAATTATGGGGACAGTGGAAGATATAAATATTTATTTACCTATAGTGGAAAATCACCACCATATTCAATCACACCCCACCAAAGTCTACTTTATGCAGGCTTAGTACAGTACATTTAGTGTATACAGGATATATATACAGTACATACACACATGTATGTGTCACACTAACTAGGGATAATTGTCCAATTTAGCCATAAAACACAACCAATGTCTTTGCCAAATATGAGAACTTTTTCGATTTGTTGCCAGAACTTAATGGAAATAAGTTCATATATCGGAGAATTTTCTTTGTCATTTAGTTCATTCTTTAATATAATACCCACAGTACATTGTATATTTAAAATAGGTTAGGTTAGTAATGATGCACTTTATTTACACAGTAATTTGTATTATGATTATCTACATGATTGTCTCTATACACAGACCAGTTGGAATTGTAAAAACTCACTTGTAATTATCCCTTTTTAGCATGATTATATATATATATATATATATATATATATATATATATATATATATATATATATATATATATATATATATATATATATATATATATATATATATATATATATATATATATATATATATACACAGTATACACAATTTTCCAATGCAACACTAAGTCATATATATATACTGTATTTTGATCACTGAGGGAGGAAAAGAGAGAACCATACAATAGTACTTGAAAGGTTTCATGTCAACTTAAGTGGGGCTCCCAAATAATGATCTAGTAAGGGAGAGAAATATAGAACATTCTGGTTTTAGCAATATGAAATATTTTCTCCTAAAACAAGATACACATGTACAGTATAGTACATTTTTACACAAAAGGACATAGTACAAACACATTTGCCACCTCTCAAGAAATCACAGATACTCACAGGTTTGACATGGTCAACTCTAAACATAGCAAGTGTGACCTAACATCTCAAGACATCATATAAACTGTGGAAAATTAAAATTATCCACTATACAAATACATTTTGGTAGTGGCAGAAGTCCATGTTGGTAGACCAGGCACATAACTCTTAAACAATTACCGAGCATGGGAACGGGGAGTTCTTGACGGTCCAACTAGTTGTTATTGTCATCAAATACCACAAGTTATTGTATACTTCATCTCGGCAGTTGTATGAGAACTCGGAGCTCAAGTCATAAATTAAGAGAGAAAAGAACAAAGGTTCATCAGAATGTCTCCTACACTCCTCTAGGTTCAAGTGTCATTTGACGACAGAAGAATGTGAGATGTCAAAAATGACTATGGACCTTAAACTGGGACTGTTTACATCTTTCATTTGCATAACTGGGGAAGTGTGAGCTTTTTAAGATCACCAGCAAGGACAGAAGTCACTTGTAACATCACATAAGCACTATTGCACAAGGGTTATAATACAACATGGCAGAAGTCACTCAGACCACAGAGATCATCAAATCTAACACATGGTTTACAATCTGGCTAAATTACTAAATTTTTCTATGGATGAAATTCTCTTAGAGAGAGAGAGGAAAAAACAGCAAAAGTATTCTTGATACCAAAATCAATATAAAATTCCTTAAATAACCGTCAAGATTACTGATTGTACCAAAGAGTAAATTTTATCAGAATAAACATAATGATGCCAATTGCTGTAACATTTTTAATGAGAACAAATTCAACCACACCTTTCTCCTTCTGCATGTCTGAAAAATATTGATACAATTTCCCAAGCCTCCTCAAGCATGTTAATTCTTACTGGAAGCTTGTAAAACCTATGTGGTTTTTAAATTGTATTTTCTGGAAGCTCAAAAAATAGTAAACATGTTTAGATACTGCAAGCTTTGGTAACTTGGAAAAATGCACAATGCTTTATTGATACACTGAACACTAAAGAAAGTTGAAAGGCAATATATCAATAAACAACTCTGAATCGACGGAAAAAAGGGGAGAGGCAAATCTACGTCACATATCCGATTGTCTGAAAAAGGTTTAGTGACACTGGCATATTAAGATCATATTATCCACCTACACCTTCCAAAGATGCTGGGCCAGGGAATTAATAACCATTCCTGGAATAATATGAAGAAGTATATACAAACATGACACCAACAAGGAATGGCTGGTATAGTTATGCTATTTTAAGCAGTACATAAAACTGATATAAACTAGAAGAGAAAAACACCACCAACTTGCACACAGATTTCTTTAAGAATGCTGTGTGCCACAAGTCTAAGTCTCACCAAGCTGCAAAATCCATCATATCCTGGGTCTTGTATCGACATGTCTGTTACCATTCTGGATTATCACAAAGATCACAAGAAGAGACATTTACAAAACTCAAAATGAAACTATATGATTTATGACACAACAACCAAAAGATCTTAATAATCTCCATTCCTGAGACAGAGAATGACGTACCACCATATGATATCTAACTTCAATGGTGAACTGTGAACCAGAAAGTGATACAGTATAGAAACAAATGACAATACTGCATTAATTAGAACCTGTGGTACTTAGATGGAAATAACTAACACTTAGGGGAATAATCAGCGCTTCAAGGCCTTCGCTCACAAAATCAGTACCCAAAGAAGTGCATCTTCATCACCCTTAACCTCATGACATGTGACAACAATCAGTTCTCTTTCCATAAGAAAATGGGAATAAAAATCTACACTTTTCCCACATTAACACATTATGAACATTACATGAGGTGATCCTTGAATTAGGCTGGAAGGTCAAGAAGGGCATGTGGTTAACATGCCTTTCCTAGTACAGTACATTACAATATATCCCAACTTAACTGTCCACGAATCACTAGAAAAATCACCAATTACAGTACAGTGTCTGGGAATGAGTCAATCACGTCCAGAGCATCTGTAGCTAGCAACAAGAATATCCAATACCTGCGAAGTATGATGTTTTGATTTTCAACAACCGGTTCACTCTTAAAACATTCAACTAGAAAATCCACTTTATACTCATGTATAACTAACACTTTAATGATACAAGTTAGAGGAATGAGAGTAAAGCATGTGTATAAAAAAAGAAAACACATACTCAATTGCAATACCAAAAAGTTAGCATGTAATCAATCTTTGAGTTATAATCCTACACTTATTAACAGTTCCTGGAGCCTCAACAACCACATGCTGACCATCTTCATCAAGCTAATAATTACACACTGGATATGAAAAAATATCTATACTTTTTAAATCATTCTTGCTACCACATGATGTTACAATACTGTACTAGCATACCTGACAATGAAATGGAAGTGAAAGAGGTACTTTATTAAAAAAACTCTTGACATATGATAAGAACTTTGTATGGCACATTCTCCTTTTAAAAATAGCTTGTTAATATATTAATGGTGTGTGATAGTGTCTACATACCAACACTGACCTAATAAATGGATCACCCCAAAGTGAGGGAACATGATACAAATAACATGACACATAACAGATATGCCCACATACACATACACTTACCATGACTCTCTATGGACTGGAGTGTCAATAGACAGTGAGAGACCTCCTTATTATCTATCACACTGGCATTATTTTTCTACCAGTTTTCTGGAGGTTGTTGCTTGACATTCATTCAGTGTAAAAGTGATAGCGATCATGAACAGACAAAGATGATGACAGCAAATAGGGAAAAAAATCCATGACCTTTTTGAAGCTGTCACCAATATTATCCTAATCAATCCACAGAAAACTCATTCTAAGAATTGCAAATGGGACATTTCTAATAATATTGCAAATAATGTAAGAATCTTCAAACACTTCATTGGACTTTGGAAAATAAAATAATAAATTTGGGATATACAGAATAATCTTGAGTTAAAATTATAAATGCATGATTCTTGAATAAATTCTGCTGTGTGACTACAGCTGTTTGGGCACTACCCAGCTTGCACCCTTGGACCTCTGTCCATATATTTGGGACATGATATGCTTCTTACAGAAATCTGGGATCTCATATTGAAAGTCTTGCTCCCTACATCACTTCCCATCTATTTTTATATATCCCAACAAATGATCTTCAGTGATCAACACCTTGCAAATCCTACTAAGTAATTAAAATACCATTCATGACATTTTCAATATCAGAAATGATCTCTGGTGCAAAAAAAAAAATACTGTACTATGCTATACCCCTATAGAAAAAAATATATAGTATAATTTTAAACATTTGCATCCCAAAATGCAGACACCATACTCCTCTTACCAGACAAATGGGTCACTTTTCAGTTACAATTATCTGCAAGAAACTGTTGGACTTTTTGATGTCTCGCTGTCTTGCCAAAAATATTACACTGAAATAATATAACTTATGAATGCCATTGCTATTGCCAACTGTAGAAGGAACAAGAAAAAACTAACAGTGGCTTAAAATTAGGTTTCACAAATAAAATTAAATTATATCATTGACATATTCCACTGAGCTATAGTGTACTGTCAATTTACAGTGCAAGGTTTTTGAGAACCTCAAGTCCTAAGATAGTCATGTAAACAATGCATCTTTGGGATAGTGCTCAGGAGCAGCACATTACAAATGTTTTGGTAGTTTTAAGGAGCAAAGAATAAGCATAACTGGTTGAGCACAGAGACTTGGTTAATAACAATACTGAAATATCCCCACTTAAAAAATATTTGTAAACTTTTAACATTTAAACATTCTTTTCTTTCTTTAGGATAAAATGGCAGCTAGTATTCCCAGTACTTAGTAAAATTCTAATTCACGTTCTTTAAATCAGTGAGAACAGTACTTTATAACACTGATACTTCAGATAGTTAGACTGATTGGAATGCAGATATATTCCTAGCCCTGACACATAAAAAATAGTCAGCATTCCAGGAGTTATAATAAGACTGGTATTAAAAAAATGCTTTACATTCTAGTATTCTGCATGAATGAGATCTCTCTCTCTCTCTCAGGAGACGTGAAAGGATTCTCATTTTCCCATGTAACATTAGACCATTGTCTTAAAATTGATAATCCATATTCCAGAAGCACTGAACTACCACTTTCCAAGGGTTGTGAGCAACAACCTTCCTGGAAATATTTCATTATAAGCATTTCCAAAGTAGCATGGCACTGGCAGTCCATGACGAGCAAATATACAGTGTGTGTGGGTATATATATATATATATATATATATATATATATATATATATATATATATATATATATATATATATATATATATATATATATATATATATATATATATATATATATATATATATATATTACCAGTCAAACATGCAAACACCATTGCTACTCTAGAAGGAAATTAATATGTGAAAGTAAGTCCCTTGCTTCTTAAGAACCACAAAACCTGAACTTTCAAAGATTTAAGCAATTGCCAGCTAAATGTGAAACACATGTTGGATAAAAGTGCCATGGAAGCGACCTTCCTTAGAATCAAACACTTTGAGCCATCAAGCAATATTTTTTGTGTCCACAGTTTGTCAACAATCCTTTTCCAACACTCATGGCAGATGAACTCTTTGCAGGCTCACTTCCCAGATGAAACACTCTTTTAGTCTTTCATGTACTGCCTAAATGACCCATAAAGAGAGGCACTTGTCCAATTTTCATCACACAGAGATCATGCCCTTGGGTTAAGGTCACTCATATAAGCCAAGACGATATTCCAGAGCAAAATGATCTTCACTGGCTTAAACACAGCATTCATCAATGTCAACCCATATCTTGGTATTACCTGAACTTGTAGCATACAGGCTAGCAGCTTCCCAAGAGTTTCCTGACATTTTAATAAGAGTGCCCCAAAGAAGTTGGCAGCCTGTTCATACTATACCCCTCATTTCTCAAGAAGATTCTATCTCATCTTCTTCAGTTTTGCTGCATTGGTGTTTCTGAAGCGATCCGTTGCCTAAATAGCATGGTTTCTTCAAAGATTAATTCCTTAAGTTTCTCCTTTGGCAGATCATCAAGTTCCATTTCAAATTTGAATGGTTCTTCAGCAACAGGCTGAAAAAAATAATAATAATAATTGTGATTGATAAAAAAAACCTAGTTTACTGATAAGCTCACATAAAATGACCCAGGAATACGCCAATTGCTTAAGCGAGGAACAAGACAAACAAACCCAAACAAAAACCTAATATTGAAATACACACAGTGTGTCTTCACACTGACAGCAATCATAATCAAACATGACAGTAATCCACCAAATCTATGATAAGCCATTAAGTAGACTCCAAAGGGGTCATGAATGGATTAAAGGACAACGTCAATGCAATATCCCTCAGAAATTTCAGTCAGAGGGAGCATACAAGGAGAGATTGAAGAACTGAGAACAAATATATATATAATATATATATATATATATATATATATATATATATATATATATATATATATATATATATATATATATATATATATATATATATATATATATATATCACTGAGCCTCACCTCATCTGCAGGATCATAGTACTGCTCCAAGTAAGGATGGGCAAGTGCCTCTTCAACTGTAATACGTTTGTGGGGATTAAAGGTCAGCATCTTGTCTAGTAAGTCCAATGCTTTGGCATCAGCATTAGGATACAGCTTAGTCCATGCAACCTTCGGCTTGTATGGTAAACTCTGGAGGTAACTTCTGGCCTGTAAATTATACAGAGTTATTAACAAGGTAAAATGTCAAAGGTGATATCATCCACAGACTCATATTAAATTTATACTAATTCATCTACAGATTTACTGAATGTAGTAATGCAGAAAGGAAAAAAGTGAGATGTGTGGACTAAGATTAGTGGGTATGCTGAAAACCCTGAGCCCTACACCATCAACCCATCAACAAAATATATAACATCATGGCAGCTGCCCAACAGAGGCAAAAGGGGAAGGTTGTTCCCATCATAAACCAGCTGTCAAGGTGAATAAAAAGTGTATACAGAGATGTATACTCTGCTCCAGAAGGCCAACATAGAAATCAAATTTCCCTCTAAGAGAGTGACTGAGTTGCTGGCAGCTAAATTTGGTCACAATATTTTTTTATTTATTTCATTTATATTAAGAAGGGCATAGTAAGTTTAATTTTGGATAAGGCAGTCATATTAAGTGGCCTTGGTAGATATAACTGACCTTCCACAGATAGTGTTATTTTGAGTATGCCACCATGATATTATAACAGTTACCCGGTACTCAAGTAGTTGGCCATAAAGTATCAAGCTCAAGGCCGTAATGAAGGTTTACTCTACCATCCATCGACAACAGCGCAATAATAAAGAACCTGACAAGCAACATAAAGCTTTTGGAGACTACAATAAAATTTGAACACTTACAATGTAGACACCAAAACAGACTCCACAATGAGAATAAAATAATAATCGGCTTATGAGCGAGCACAATAATTCATTTATGTCTACAGTAACTGTACCTTTTCATTAATGATACAGTCGAGGTCCTCTTGACATGGTGAACCTAAGATGCCAAGAATGTGGTTTAGTTGATCCAGATAATGTTTGCCAGGGAACAGAGGACGGTTTGACAACATCTCTGCCAAGATGCACCCCACCGACCAGATGTCAATTGACTTTGTGTAGCCCTAGAAATATTTTGGAAAGAATTAAAAATAGTTAAGTAAATTTATACCTTAAGAACTATGAGTATATTAAGGAAAAATAGCAATATATAGAAGGAAGGAAATTCAATTAGAGAAAATCTTGTATAAAAACATAAGACAATACTGTATATAAATTCTGTATCGTAGCATTGCATGCAATGAGGAATTTGTGAGTGGCAAGAGATGTAAGCACATTACAGTATAATGTCAGTTGTACAAGGTACAGTAGACCCTTGCCATTCGCAATTTCGACGATTTGTGGTAAGCAGATGGTGGCTATGGTGGCTAGTTTGCAAGCCTTTTCCCGCAGCACAACGAGTCACCCCACACAGCGTCTCATGTTGTACTCTCAAAACTTTAGTGTTTCTGTGTGAAATGGCCCCTAAAAGACTGCTTACTGCCAGCGCTAGTGATGCTAGTGGAGTGAAAAGTAAAAGGCAGAAGTCAGTGATGACCCTGACAAAGAAAGTTGAATTATTAGATAAGTTAAAAGAGGGGAAGAGTGCTGCCGCGGCTGGTCGGTTGTTTGGTATAGGTATACAGTAGTGCACTAAGATAGTAAAAGCTGCTGTTCGCGATTTTGCCGATCTACGCCAGTCCTTGGAACCTAACCCCCGCAAATAACAAGGGTTTACTGTACTATACAAAGATACTGTATACGGTACATGAAGGGAAGAAACTGTATGTGATGTAGTCACAATAAGGTAAGAGGAGTTTGTATTTTAGGTAATTAAAGGAATAAAAAGGTAAATATTTATAGACTTTTTTTGTGGGGGAGAGGAAGGCACATTTAGTGGAAATTTAATGAAAGTATCATCAAGTTTATGTGATGTGGTAATTTGATTAAAGGCTTGGGTATGGTGCTGTATGAAACTGATGTACTGTAGATCTATCAGACTAAAGTACTCTCAATTTTTTAGTAAACCTCACCTTTGAGTTGAGCATAATTTCTGGTGCACGATACCAGCGAGTGGCAACATACTCTGTCAGAAAACCAGTGTGGTCATGTTCTGGATCAGCAACTCGGGCCAAACCAAAGTCACAAATCTGTAAGATAAACAAATATCATAAAAAAATACAGCCCTAGTGAGAAAAAAATATTGACACAGATGTCTATACCAAATAACTGATTAGTCAATGGAGCATACCACATTGTAAGTCACTGAATCCTAACACTTATAAATTATGAACATCCATATACAATAATTAGGCTCTCGTAAAATTCTTCTAAGTGTGAAGCCAATCCAACTAAAACTGTAGGACTAGTTACATTAGCAATCTTTTCAGGCTGTACAGACAAATCTTGTAATCCATTACACTCTCAATCATACTCACCTTGAGGTCACATGTGGTGTTTAACAGCAGGTTAGATGGTTTCAAGTCACGGTGCAAGACATTTGCAGAGTGGATATATTTCAAACCTCGAAGAATTTGATAGAGGAAGTAGCAAATGTGGTCATTGCTCAGTTTCTGGAATGAATGATGTTGAAGATTTATCATACTGTGTGGGCTGAGACGAGTATGATCGTCCCTCCCTAAATCACACTTTAATTTGTTCTGGAATGTTAGAGAACCATCTAGCTATAAATATTGAAGTGTTTGGCATCTCTCCAGGCAGCAGGAAGAAAAATGTGTACTGTACCTATGTTACCACTGTTACAAAAACACAACCATAAGCCGTGGGAAAACTATTTCAATGCACATTATATTCAGTAAACTCCCTCTAACCCGGACTCACTTAATCTGGATCCCCTTACTGGGGTCCAGCACCGGACACATGTAACCCCAACCTAGAAAAACACAATCAAAATCCAGTTAGTATGGGGGAGAGTTCATGTAAGAGATGTTGGAAGTGTGTTGAAGAGGGAGAACATAGTAAAACTATTCATGATATCATAAAGATGTACAGCTAGTACACTGGGCAACTGTACATCAAGAACATTTTACATTTATACTTGGAACACTGGTAATAATATAGTACTCCAATTACATTCCCACTTAAATACAAATAACAATACAGGAATACAGTAAATACAATGTTAGTTCAGTAGTGAGTGAGGTTCAGTATGACAAATGAGAGAGCAGAGTTTTGGGATTTGAAATGCTAAGTTTAGCAGTGAATGTCTATTCTACATACTGTAATTTCTAATAAAAACTTTGTATATGTAGTATTGGATATTACTTAACAATAACAAATCACCTCATTGGGATATTGTAGTGTACTGTTTAATTAAACTGTGCAAATCTGACACTTGACTGTAATAAATGGTACTGTAAGAATACATCCAAGTAACATACCTGCGACTTAAGAAGCTTGTACAAGTCTGTTTCCATTAAACACTGTACAATATAAACATCCTTCATCACGTCTATCCTCTGGGCTCGTATTATGTCACGGATGTCTATCACCTGAAAAACAAAGATAAATTTAATAAGGTTTTCTTTATACATATGTACAGTAAATAAAGACAGAGATAATGTTCGGATGTCTTTATACTGCATAAAGTAAACAGAAAAATGTTGGTAGTTTGCACAAGATGGGGATGAGAAAGAGGCGGGGTAACTGTCTTGAATGCAATTATATAAATCTTACTCCAATAGACTTCATATCATACTTTGTACTCAGCTGTTCATGAGCAATAACTAAACTTTTCTTCTCCCTACTGTAGTTTTTAAAACAGGTTTTAGGGTCTGCTAATTTACGCTTATGCCAATCGGACAACAAATGCAAAAAGAGCTGAATTTACTCTGAAACTCCATTTTCTGCACTGTCATTGTAACTGCCCAAATCCCAACTTACTACAGGCCTGTAATAAATAAATGTAACTAGGCTTCACTGCTTCTATTACTCTATATGGAACCTCTTACCTTAAATGGATCATCCTATACATAATTAAGCATTTATAAAGTATATTTTCAACAAATTTAATTTAAGAGTACAGTATATTACAGTACCAGTATACAGTACAGTAAGGTACAGTACTGTACTAACAACATCTGATGTGAGGGATTTGTCCAGGCACCTCTTGTTGCCCACACATGATGATGAATTAAACTTATCTAAATCCTTCATTTTGTAATATTCTCCAATACAGTACAGTATTTGGATATACAGCTACAGTAATATGTTAAACTCAATTTACATCACTAACGGATACAACTTACATTTTCATGTTTGAATCTCGTTAGAATTTTGATCTCTCGAAGGGTTCTCTGGCAGTATGTCTGATGCTCGAAGGGTGATATCTTCTTGATAGCCACCTTTGTTTTGGTAATACTGTCATTAGCTGACCTGAAACAAAGTTGGATGATAACAAAATATTTATCAAATTTAGGTAAGCAAGTTTCAACCTCATGATGGCCAATGATATAAACTTCCACCAACCCAAAATATCACAATTAAAGGACAAATTTTCATCATGCTCCTTTAAGCTCCAAAAACCGACCGTGAATCAAAGTTATTCTAGCAACTAAAATAACTATGTACAGTCGCGGTCAAAAGTAATCAATCGCCCCTCCTACCATACCCGCAAACTCAGGGCCTTTCTACATGACGGGTCACAAGAGGGTGGGGAAGGTATTGATGGTTGGGAGAGCTGGGGGGTGGCAGACTCAGGTAAGGTAGGGGGGCACAAGTCAAAGGCCACATATGTAGTGAGAGTGTATGTGGTCTTATAATTATCCTTAACACCTGAAGAAGGTGTTAAGGTTAGTGGATGTAGCTTTACATTGACGGCCTTAATGACCCTGGCAGTCGATTGGCCTAAGGGCCAATGGCAAGAACGGTTATGGGGTGTACGACGCCATTTACGATGACCTTCTTGCCCTGGTCTTTTTCAGCAATATCGCCTTTAACACATGGAATTCTGCACTTTTCGAAGCTTTGGAGGAGTCTCGAAACAAGTTTCCTGGTGGGAATTATTAGCTAGTGTTGTCCTCAGAATATCGAAACTTTGAGATCTCTCCAGAGCTTCAAAAGGGTGGTATTCCCGAAACAAGATCAGGGCAAGAAGGTCATCGTAAACGGCGTTGTACACCCCAAGACTGTTCTTGCAATTGGCCCTAAAACCCAAACAACCAACCAACCAGGAGGGTAGATGTCCAGGGAGTTCAAGGAGAGGTGTCATATGGACTTAACTTTCCCTTGGTTATCTATTCCTTTACTTGAGATTCTGGGGAGGAATGCGAGTGAGCTTTTGGCAGGTACAGTAATGTGTCATTAGGGTTGATACAGGCATCTGACTTCTCTGAGGGAAAGCCCCTGGTATGACATAAAAGAGGGGGTGTGGTTTGCTCACCACCAGTAACACCAAACAAGGCCTGTAATATATTTATTTCAGCTGTGAAAATCAGATGATGAGGTGGCAGTGATAATGGTGTTTGGCCACTGCTCCATACCATGCAGAAAGGACCCGACCAGACATGGGTTAGGTGGTAGTGAATGATTACCTTTGACTTGGACTGTTCACTCTCAACAAAACTTCTCAAACACCTGGGCACAATGGATGTGAGAATGAGCAGAATGGGGCTTGTCATCTCGAAATGGTTTCAGATTCTTCGATCATTTTCCAAATTGCAGTGCTTATAGCATTCGAGTGTACAACCAAACCTAACCCTATACTGTACTCTAGCATAGCTTCCTCTAACCCATGAAGAAACAAAAACAAATGCTCAGGACTGTCTTTAATGTTTATTGTATCCTACCATACATGGATGAGTTGCAGTGGAAAGTACAGTACTGTATCATAAACCTGTATAGACATCTTCAGGAACACCCCAAATAACAAACAAGGAAAACTCTACAATTCCTGGAGTAAATCTCTGAAGTTATCATCACATTCATGGACTGAGAATTTGTGTCAATTTAAACACAAGTCCACACATCAGAGACCACCTGCTGGGAATCCCACAACAATGCTGGTACCCACACTCTTCCCTGACCTTCATGCTATTTATAACTCAACATAAAATGAGGCATAAGCTAGACACACCATTAACATACCCTCAGCATGATAAACTACAACAGTTGGTAACACTGTACAGTACTTCATTAATACACACCAAGCTTCTTTACAAATGAAGAATTAATCCTGAACGTCCACTTATGAGTGTGACCTAAACCACTTGCATATTATCCCACCAAGTCTACAAAACCAAAAACCAGGTAATTCTTAGAACACTGGTGGTTGAACTGATTCATTAATGTGTTATTCTTTCCCATTGAAATTAGAGCCCTTACAGAAGGGTTATATATGAGGAAAACACTTAACATTGAAGGCAGTGTGTCATGATGTCACACAGCTGCGTGTACTTCCCATGTCACCCATAAGCTATCCCTTGTGGGGACGGGGGGGGGCTCGTTAATGTAAATGTGGTCAGGATGAGTCCTCAGTTTGTAACCATACATGATAATAATAGCTGGTCTTTTGTTTCTAAAACGCACCAGTTCTTCTTAAAGAATTCACTAGCACTCAAAACACTAGTCAAAGACCTGAGAATAAAGAAACATGTACCAATACATACTGTACTACAAAACAGACCAGAAAAGTGAGTTCCTTTGGATCATTCTTATATCCTTAATATGTAACTCTTCCTAAACCCTGTAATTCTTCATCACTGTACCCTCTTCAGGATCATAAACTTTCAAAAAAATAAAATAAATGCAAGGTGTGATATGCTGACATCACTGATTTCAAGTCTAAACAAAAGATTTATTGACATGGCCAGTACGATTCTCCAGAACGAATGGATTCTGAATTTCAAATTGTGGCCTGCAGAGTACAGTGGGAATGAAGATTTCAGGGATAGCGCTGTGCAAGCGTTGGTCCAGGCTCTTGAGAAAACACTGATGGAGGCAGAGGTGAATCCTACTTTGGTAGAGGATGAATGGGCTGTGCTCAAAAGTTACATTTACAAGAGTAAGACATCACTTGTTTCAAGACTGTCTTGGCAACAAATCAACCAATCATACGGAGAAAGGTGTGCCTCATTTCTCCATCTGGTTGACCTACTGCTTTCCATTCCAGCTAGTTCGGCTGATGCTGAACGTGGTTTTAGCCAGGTCAAACTCATTAAGACAGACTGGCGCAGTCGTCTCACTGATGACCACCTGACGGATCTCATGGTGGTTCAGTTGCAAACAGAGTGTTGGCAACTTTAATCTGGACTAAGCCATTGCCAGATTCCTCACAACTGGGGCCCGTCGTGTGGATGGCTACACTCACACTGCTGGCTGGACGACAACAAAGAGTTGAACGAGGAGCATGTACAGGAAATGCTTGCTCAAATGCAATGAAAAAGCGGTGCTCCATGCAATTAATTTAGTTAATATGTGATTATTCCAGTGTTGGTTTATGATTTCTACTAGTAAATAAATGTCACACAGTAAATATGTGCTCCATGTTAATAATTTAGTTAATATGTGATTATTCCAGCGATGGTTTATGATTGAACATGGTTTCTACTAGTAAATAAATGTCACACAGTAAATAGAACTTTGTATAAACCAGGTAAGTGCCAATGTTTAAAGTTTCTTGACAAATTGTTTAAGGGCTAGTAAAAATTTATAAGGACTAGTAAATTTTCAAATCTACTAGTCCTGTATTTGAAGGTATAGCCTATGTTTCCAAGAGTGTGGTTGGCTTTCTTCATTGGTACCCTCACTTGTTGCACTGATTTCAGTGATTGCTCCACCATAATGCCCAGTAAAGATACTCCTTGGGTAGTGTGAGCTAAACTTGTAATAGCCTCATTGTAAAGGGAAGAAATATTCACATGTCCAGCAGCAATTCTAAAAACTTCCTTTGTTAAAGTTATAATGACATTAACTAAATTTGTTCATAATTTACAGGGTGATAATATGAATTATAAATGTGTGCAATACTGTCTTATAACATGTACAGTATACAATACTGCATATACTGTAACCTGTGTGTGTGTGTGTGTGTGTGTGTGTGTGTGTGTGTGTGTGTGTGTGTGTACAGGAATTATATTTTACTGCTGTACTGTATATGTACTGTACACAGTATGTGTGTACACATGAGTATGTACAAAGATAGAAAACATTTTTTTTTTTAAGTGCACAGACACTTGGAAAGGTTAATGTATAACAGAGCACTAAAGTACAGATGCTCCTCTACTTAAGAGCGTTAAACTTACAAACACATATATATATATACAGTGTGTATATATATATATATATATATATATATATATATATATATATATATATATATATATATATATATATATATATATATATATATATATATATATATACATATATATACATATATATACATATATATACATATACTTCATGTAGATCCACAATGAAAACGTGGATAAGATAAATCTTGATAAAATCACAGGGGAAAAGGGAAACAACGGACCTTAGCTTTCGTCTTTATTCAAGACATCTTCAGAGGCTCTGAAGATGTCTTGAATAAAGAATATATATATATATATATATATATATATATATATATATATATATATATATATATATATATATATATATATATATATAAATATATATATATATATACACACACACACACGAGGGAATATATAAAAAAATCCATGTCAAATTTGGCGTAGATCCATAAAACTGTAAAGGTAGAGAAGGTGAAATCAAAGATCAGTAAATGCCAAAAGGTAGGAGGGAGGGAGGGAGGGCCTGGAAAGAGATATCCCTCTCCAACTTAATTTTCTTTTTTTTTACTTGGTGCCCTAACAAAGGTGCAAGTAAACCCCTACATAATGGAATGTCACTTTTAATTTTACAATTGGCTAATGCCAGACAATTTTATTCAGCACAGAGGAGACCCAGTACAGTACACAAGAGGTTAAGGCAAAATGAAGTAGGAAGTAGAGAATGAGAGGTGATGGGGAGGATAGGGCAATGTGGGGTGGTGGGCAGGATAGGGGGGTGGTGGGCAGGATGTGGGGTGGTGAGCAGGATAGGGCAATGGGGGTGGTGGGCAGGATGGGGGCAATGTGGGGTGGTGGGCAGGATAGGGCAATGTGGGGTGGGGGCAGGATAGGGCAATGTGGGGTGGTGGGCAGGATGGCAGGATGTGGAGTGGTGGGCAGGATAGGGCAATGTGGGGTGGTGAGCAGGATAGGGGCAATGTGGGGTGGTGGGCAGGATAGGCAATGTGGGGTGGTGGCAGTACAGGATAGGGCAATGTGGGTGGTGGGCAGGATAGGGCAGTGTGGAGTGGTGGGCAGGATAGGGCAGTGTGGGTGGTGGGCAGGATGGGGCAGTGTGGGGTGGTGGGCAGGATGGGGCAGTGTGTGGGTGGTGGGCAGGATAGGGCAGTGTGGGGTGGTGGGCAGGATAGGGCAGTGTGGGGTGGCAGGCAGGATAGGGCAATGTGGGGTGGTGGGCAGGATAGGGCAGTGTGGGGAGGTGGGCAGGATAGGGCAGTGTGGGATGGTGGGCAGGCTAGGGATATGTGGGGTGGTGGGCAGGATAGGGCAGGGTGGGGTGGGGTGGTGGGCAGCAGGACAGGAAGTGGGCAGAGCAGGGCACTCACTAAGTAGGGCAGTAGTTGGGCAGTGAGGAGTGGTGGGCAGGGCAGGAAGTAAAGGTCATGGACAGAGCAGGGCAATGATGGGTGGTAGACAGAGCAGGGTAATGATGGGTGGTAGACAGAGCAGGGCAATGATGGGTGGTAGACAGAGCAGGGCAATGATGGGTGGTAGACAGAGCAGGGCAATGATGGGTGGTAGACAGAGCAGGGCAATGATGGGTGGTAGACAGAGCAGGGGGTGGAATGATTATATCATGAAGGGCTTGAACAAATTGATTTGGCAATTTATTCGTGACCTTTTTATAAGGTTTATGGGCAATACTGGTGTTACGGAGAAAGTTTACACCACAATGGTCTCTTCCCCTGAGATCCACTTTACAACAGAGAAAATGTAGCTGTAATGTTAATGAAGATCAATATCACAATCCATTTTCACCATAGTATAGTAACTAAGATATCAAGCACTTCTTTTAAAACATGCAAACCAAACTAACTCAAACAAACCTTAATTAAAACATACCAGTAATCTAAAATTATAATTTAAATAAGGTCTGGTTTGATTAGCCAGTTATTACAAAATTGTAATTGGGAAAACCAAATGGTTTAAAATAAGCCAGCAAGATCACCTGAAGAATTCCCACCTGTTTATTTCCCCTATAGATTAACCACCCTAGCACTATTTGGGGGGATGAGGTTAGGTTAGTGTTGGGGTGGAAATTCCTCAGGTGATCCTACAAGTACATATACTGTTCTTCAAAATTACCTTAATACTATATACAGTATACTGTAACTAATTTCTAGATCGCTGACCAACCCTAAAACCCTTTCCTTTATCTGGAAAATCTAATCCAAATGTTCACAAACAAAACAGTTCAAAGCCCCCAAGTTAATCCATAATTCACTTACAGATCTAAGACTTTCCTACATCTGGGCCTGGATGCACTAACATATTTAAATCACTTAATTTTCTGCTAGTACACTTAAGTCATCTGTCTTAGCTAAGACCATATGAACAAAGCAATTTAACTGTGCTACAGTCTGGGATCATGGAACTTAAGTCCACTCCTAAGATGTCCTAAGTGAGCAAACCGACCCTGCGTTCACTCCGGCAACACTACTTTTAGCCGTACCAAGTGGTCTTTTGCTTATTTTGATCATGTAATACACTGAAAGGTATTTTAAATGCAATCTACAAAAAAATATATCATATTTTGTTATTTTTCATTAAAATAAAATATGAATGAGTGGTGCTTTACATCTCCACCAACTTCTTTAGTTCACACAGTCAGGAGGGTCAGGGTTACACCACACTCCTGTAGTACCTCTCTCTGGGTACCAAGAAAGAGGGTAAGAGAAAGAAATAAAGAGATATTAATAAAAAAAGAACAGAATACGATTGATTGAAAGTAAAAGAAATAATAAATGTAATTACAGAATAAAGCAGAGAAAGAATATAAATAAATATAAAATAAATAAACATCAGTTGTGATTTGGTTGAGTTGCAGCTAATAGTATTGTGTGGCCATAGCATTGTGATGAATGTGGTCTTCCATGTGTGTTTCAAGTGTAGTGCTATTACATCATAACATCCGCTTTGCGATTGCTGAAGGGACAGAAAAAAATTTGTATTGTGCACCGACTGGTTGACGGATTTCAGCTGACGCAGCCGAATACAGTCTTTAGCCATAACTGTCTTAAGTGTTCACTTTGTCCTCACTTAAGATTTTGAGCTGAGCCATCGCGGCAGACTTACGTCAGATGTTAGTGCATCCCTGCTTTGATCTAACAATTTCCTACATCTGATCTTTAAACACACCGTAAAAAGCACCTCACCTAGCCAAACTTAACCTATCCTATTAATATCAGGAAGACAAAGAACATTAAAAAATACAAAATTAAATTAAATAAATTACCTAATTTCGGGAATCACATAACATACGGTAATCAGAAATAAACGATATATTCAATTTGGCTCATCAGAAGTTTAAATACACGACACTAAAGTGTTATGAGTCGTGGTAGAAATGACAGTCGCAACCACTGAAGTAGCGTCCTGTACTTCTAAATAATTTCTAACTTTGATCAAAAGGGAAATTGTGGCATAAAAACAAGCAAAATACTCACCCGACTTAACTACCATAACTAAAATAAGTCCATGTCCACTACCAAATCTTTCTCATAAACCTTTAACACATTGTGCGTAAAAGGCGTCCAATAACAGAAGTTAGACCTGAGATATGAGAGCAAAGATAAAATAAACTTCATAAATTGTTTGGATCACCCGAAGAATTTCCACCCCAGCTTATTTCACCTACAGATTAACCACCCTAACACTATTTAAAGGGGTGAGGCTAGACTAGGTTAGGTTAGGTTAGGTTGGTTAATCTTCAGGTAGAATAAACTGGGCTGGGGATTCTTCAGGTGATCCAATTGTTCCCCACACTGTATTTTGCTTTGTCTGAATAATACAGAAAATCAAATTCAATTAAAGTTTATATATTTACTTCTAGCCAAACACCCCTTGACAGATGCAACAGACCCACCATTACACATGACTTAACAAAAGTTGTAATTTTGTAATTTCAGTTTTATTTTTCTGTAGAACATTAATTCCACCTTTACATAAATAATTACAGAAGTAATTCTCCATTTAATAAAAAATATGAAAGTGAAACCCAATCATGTCATAATTATTGCCTATGAAACAATTATGGTTGCCAAAATAGTTCTCATCCGCTAATTTGACTTTAAATGGTTATTGTAATCACCTGTAATAGTTACTTTCACTGATGTATGACCCAAAATATTAAACAATTAGTCTTTCACTGTTATATCATCACTTGACCACTTCGTATATAACAATAAAACCAAGAATTAGTTTTCTTAATATCTTACAACAAAAAAACTACACACCGTACAGTATAATAATAATAATCCTTTACAAATGTCAAATGTATATCTAGTTACAATCTCTCTTGTTGATACTGATAAGCAGCCAATCTTATCAATGACAAGTGAAGGCTGCCAAGACCTCTCACACTTCCCTCACCACCACACAAAGAACATGTTACCAAGATCATTTTTAGCAGCAGTTTGTGTAATTAATCGTGTTGAGTCTCTCATATACCACCTGAGAGACTGGACTTGACCCATGACGTCAGTAGTGGCCGTGTTATCATGCCCCAATACCTCATCCAAGGGGCATCACCGAGGAGGAGGATACAAGGGGCGACTCCTCCCCTTCCTAGCCCTCCACGTCAACACTAACTTCTCACCCTCTATATATATTTCCCTCATTACCCTTTGACCGTGTGTTTCCTCTCTTTATCTCCCCTTGGCCTCTGCGTCTCCTTGCCCCGTCTCTCTCTCCAACACGGGAACACTGATCAATAATCCAGGAGCACAACAGGTCCATCTTCCCTTAGCACCACCGTTGATTACACCCAGGCGTCCAAGATACTTACACCACCATACCATAGGCTCCTTCTCCTATGTAGGATAGGTTGAAGTAGCGTGGGCCCACCTCAAACAACTGACACCTGACAATTTCTCCCTCTGCTGGCCGATCTTCCGTCATGGTGAGTGTTCCTCTGATGCCGTCCAGATAACAACTAAACGCGAGTTGGCTTCACACAAACACCATGCAGACTTCTAAAACCTCTGGTCATGGCCTTCTTTAATTATCTATGTATTCATTCTTTATTGATTTTACATTATATTATTTTATGTGAAATAATAGATCTATAGTCTGAATGTATTCGTTTACTGTTACATATGATAAAAGCAGATTAAATGGAATAGATAATATTGGAACGATATTGACGTTATAGTCCTCTATTGTAAGGGTTATTGAGACATTAAGCTTAATACATCTGATAATGGATAATCTGATCAGTATACATTGAGCACTGAATACTGAAATGAGCCTAACTCGCCCCATACCATAGGTGGAACAACTATCAGATATGCCTTTTAAAAACGCCGCACGATGACGTCATGTTGGGGGTAGTGTTGTCAAGATGTACATGGTGTTACATCAACGAATTATTTGATCGAAATCTATAATAAAAGTTTATAATTTAGCACTTTTTATTACCTCTCATTTATATTAAATTAAAATAGGCTAAACGGTCTTTCCTAAGTGAAACAAAATACAAATATTAGTATGAGACGCTATAACGTTGGTATTTTTCTACTAGTCATCCGGTCAGAGGTGTTAGTTATCACCTTGACAGGATGTTTCAACCTCTCCTGTTGCACCTTAATAATAATAATGAACCTCACCCAGGTGTTACAGTTATCTCCACAACTTTGGAGACTCATTAGGAAAAAGTATGCTCCACGACTTGAGGGGAAATTATTACACGGGTCACGATCAAAACTAAAGTCTCTGATTTAATCAATAATAACGAAATGAAATACTGTAAGATAATAGTGATAGCCTGACGTCACGTTGCCGTAGCGACAACTATTCTAGGCTTAAGCAAATCGATTTAGGTCTAATATTTGCGTATATCACTTATATTTAGCCTCCAACCGAGGATAGTCCGACCCGGGGTTTCTATTTGCCCTTAAGTTAGTTTTTTCGCCATCCATTATCTCAGACACGCAGGGATGATTTAGTTAGTATAAACATGAAACATCGAAACAGTTATTTTATCTACGTTCGGATTCAATTTGGCCTTCATTTCTAGTATTTTAATAATTACTGTAAGTCCCTGTTTAGTTTGGGATCATATTGAAATCCCTCACCAGCCAGATGAACTATATTGTTATGACTGAAGAATCATATCATATGCAGTAAGTATCGTGTAATTTACAGATCACAATATCATCTTTATGTTTGTTCACTGCGATGAGGATGTTCTCTTGATAGACAGACATACAGACAGACAGGTGGTTTACATAGGTCAACGTTTTCCTGCCAAAGATGTCGGAAGACAGAATTGTAGCTTCTAAAACTAGGACCGCCGCTTCTCCATCTTTGAGTCGTGGTTACATGACAGTCACAAATGAGAAAATGAAATTAGATGGATACACTGTACAACGTCTCAACAAAAACAGACATGGGGGCGGTGTTTGTGCTTGTATAAGAAATGACTTGGCCTACACTCTTAGAACTGACTTTCATGATGACCATCTGGAGGGCCTATGACTGGATATATTGTTACCTAACCTAACCTAACCTACCGCCCACCTAATGATTGTTTGTGGATCATTTTACCAAGAGTTTGTCAAATATTAGAAGTGACTGTGAAACATAATACAGGGTGACTTTATATTTGTTTTAAGCAAGAAGAAACCGGATGTCTAAGAAATATAAACATATCATAAATAATTTTATGGTATTGTACCTGCTTGGTGTCCGTGGTCAAGCGAAAAACACTGTTCTTTACAGAGGCGGATCCAGGAATATCAAAAGGAGGGGGTCCAAGAAGTTGCGGGTGGGGAAACATGGCGAACACAGCAAGCCCACTCAGCTGGGGGGTTGGGGGGGGGGGCTGCAACCCCCAGAATTGTTTTTGAAATCTGACCCATATCATGGGCATTTTGAGGACATTTTGAAGCCACGCGCACTTGATATTAGGAGATATTCTGAAGTTAATAGTAAATATTTTTACAATACAAAAATTCCTGAGTACAATACTGCATTAAAGAAAAGGTATTGTAATTTTCTGGTGAAAAAGGGGGTTCCGGACCCCAGGACCCCCTGGATCCGCCCTTCCTTTACTGCTGTAATAGACTGTACTGGCACAAGTTAACAGACCACATCAATAAGTGAAGCTACAGCAAGAGAAGAGGGTTAGTGGTTATATTATTAAATCGTTGTGTGTAGAGCGGTGGTATGTGATCCTAATCAAGCAACCTTCCTTTGGTAATGAAGGTCGCCTCTGACATTCGTTTATCGTTCTCCTGACTTTTCTCTCATTTTAAATAGAGATAAAAAACCTGCTACATGCAGGTAGTAGGTAGTAGGCAGCTACCAAACAGGGAGGTACTACCACCTGAGAAGATACTGAAAGCATAATGTGCTGTCTAATGGTAGACCCTGCTGCCATATGTGACCAAGTCCCAAGCTGCTGATCTGACTGACTTTTTGCCTGATTTACACACAATTGCAGGATCTCAATTGTTTCTCTTACTTTAACGACACAACATATACATCGTTTCTCACTCTTGATCCTTAAGAAAATGTACTTGGCGAGAAGTAACGTTATGTTTTCTATGTTTGTCTCTGGATTCGCCCTTCTCTCTCCCGTTCTGGACCCCCCCCCCCTCTCTCTCTCTCTCTCTCTCTCTCTCTCTCTCTCTCTCTCTCTCTCTCTCTCTGGAAACTTAAAACAGTTCTCGAATATCAAACAACACTCCCGGTGAAAAAAAAATCCTCCTTGAAACTTACAATATTTGGAAGCCAAACTCACCTCAAAGGAAGCCTCAATACCACCCAAAAAAAGACAATTATGGAAACCTGAAGTAATCCATGAAAGCAAAAACTCAACATCTGTTCAGTGACGTTTGCTGTCACCATTGTTTTGCCACAAGAGGAAGATGTAAACATGTTAGGTGACGTCACGACAAGGGATTTATTGATTCTGAATGGACCCTTATCATCAAACGTTTGGTGGCTGGAGGCGCGAAATAAGATAGATTGCATACACTTACAATGGTGTTCAATTGTGCAGTTACTGGACTCGTTAGCCAAGGTGAGGACGGAATTGTAAATGTTTCTTGCATGCATCTGCCAGTCGTAATAATTATTCAAGGGGAGAGGAGACAAGAATTCTGGGATAATAAGCGACCTACACTACTAGCCCGCATCAATCGTTGTAAAGCCAGACAATCATCCCTACATCCATGTATTTTATAGTTACTCCACCAAAGGCATAGAACACAAGGTACTTTAAAATGTCAGGACCAGCAAGATCTCTCTCTAGCACCTCACCACCCAGCTTCCCCAGAGAGCTCCTCGCCCTACAGGAACTCTGAGCAAGCTACACCTCACCTAGTAACTCCTTAGCACTACTCTGTACAACAATATATATATATACAGAAAACGCATCGTGAGTTTCTATTCTACCTCATTCCTGAGTGTGAGATATCTACATGTACGTGCGTTGTGTGGCTATACAAAGAGATAAAAGACATCTAAAGAGAATTGACTACTGGCCACAATACAGTACGCTACAAGACAAACAATTACCTGGGATAAGAGAGGTTAGCTTTGAAGGTGTTGGCGTAAGATTAGCTTCAACTGGATTATAATAATTTAGCCAAACTCGGGGACTTTAGATTAGTTTTGACTGGAATAAGATGGATTAGTTCAACCTGGTCTTTGTAAAGTAACTCTGGCTGGGTTAAGATAAATTACCTTCCACCTGGGTTAGGGTGTATTGCCTTTGGCTGAGTTAGGTTAGGTTCAGTTGGGTTGAATTGGTTTTTAAGATAACTGTAATTCGAACCCTGGCAGTGGGTACAACTACTCAGCCACCCCACAACTTCTAACATCTATTTTAACCTCAAGTTTAGATTAGTTTTATATTGGGTTATATTAGATTTTAGTAGGTTAGATTAAGTTAGGTTAGCGTTGGGTTAGATTACGTAAAGTTAACGTTATTTTACGTTGAGTTAACGTTAAAATGGTTAATGATCGGATGAAAAAAAAGCTGGGGCTAATCGTCAGGTGATCCAATGACCCAATATAAAAAATCAACACTTATTGCTTCTGTTACTTGAGTGGTTGACGGAGGTAGCAAGAAGCTTCACGACAGAAGCCCCCCTGCCCGACGGACGCGACGAAGCCTAACAAGTCGAGTACAGTAAAATTAATCACTAATTGGCAACGTTATACACAACAAGGATCAGCTGGGGTCTCAAAAATGACCATGTTATCTTCACGTGAACAGAAGATTTAAGAGCTTGTCTCACCAGTTCACATTAAGCAAGACAAACATGATCTCTAAAACTCCACTGAGACTTAACGGTGTAGAATATACTTGATTTTATTTCGGGAGCAACTCGAGCCTCACACCACTATGCTAGAGCGTCTGGAAAATCATCTCCTTGTTACTATATTCATCATTACCAATATACGTGTCAGTGATACGGTATCACTGATACCGATTCACGTACTCAGTGACTGGCGAACAGTGTCACTGGCTCACTCCCTCAGCGTGACCGTGACATTTTCAACGTTGTGAACACCGTAAAAGGTTATGAAACGTCACGGTCAACCCACAAGTGCCGATAATGGAGAATCTTATTTCCATTGCTGACGAGTTTCTTCAGAATTAAATATACAATTGAGAACCTACTATGTAAAAAATTTGTATCTAGACAGACAGACAGATAGTCACATGGGCGACGCCAGACACGACATAAAGAACATAGTTATCGGTTCTCGTTAATATAATAGAAGGGGGTTGAATGAAGTGACATTTTCATGTTATCCTCGTATACCCTGGCTGGTGGCTTAAGGCTTCAGTCAGCCGTGAAATCTTAAGTCACGGTATAGAGTCATAAAGGTTCTCACGGTGAATATTCGGATTACCTGTAGATTAACCCACCCAGCTTATTTTATCTTAAGATTAACCACCCTAATGATAACCTAACCTAACTTAACA